GGGCAGGCCGCTCGCTGACGTCAGCAGACGTCGTGGCCACGCAGCCAGCGGCAGGGGCCATCTGTCGCCAGCGCAGGAAGATCCGGAAGCGGTCCTGAAGGGTCTGAAGGAACAGGCCCGAGAGTTTGCAAAGGGGGGAACGGAAGGAAGTGCTGCGGACTTTGCGAGGCAGGTGGTCCGGAAAGCAGGACGTGTTCTCATAAAGAAGGGGCAGGAGGGAGGGGCAAGTGGACCCCCCAAGAAGGAAGGTCCGTCTGGGCGGGGGGGTGGGAACCACGGAGACAGCTCGCAGGCGCTTGTGGTATATGATCCGCTCGCAAACGGGGGGGTCGTGAAGGCTGGATCCGAGGGAGGGAGGGTGGGCCAGGATTTGAAACGGTTGTTTCTGTTGCCCCCCAAAAAGCTGACGAAGAAGTACGTGGGGTGCCGAGTGCCAGGGGAAGGGAGCAGCGGGAAAAACAAGGAAGGATACTCGGTTGACGACAAGATCAGGGAGTGAGTGACTCTCAGCGTGAGCCCTTTGCAAGTGATGCGCCCATGTCTAAAGCAGAAGCAAGTCATTTTGTGTCATTCGGAAGATGGGAGCTCGCTCATTGGCGGAAGTAGATTTGTGTGTCTTGTTTTGGTGAAGTGTTCTCACGGCAGACGGGCGGAGTATTGTGAAGAACATATTTCGCCTCGTCAGAAAGGGGCTCGAGCATTCTTACAGCGTCGCATCCGCTTCCCAAGAGGTCAGAAAGCAATCTGGAATGAAGTTCACAACCATGGATGATGACTGAACCTGGTGCTTGTGCTCAGTCGTGTTCATCGCAGTCCTGTTCCCAGTCGTCATGACAGCCCGTCCTGTTACATTCACCTGGCAGTTACGAATTCAAAGAGGTCGATGGGCGTCATTGCTCTATTTGTCTCCGACTTCTCCGCTCCTTTGTCAAAGCTTTCTTTTTTGAACCTGAGTCAGACCTTCGTGTCTATGGACCAGCTCCATTTCTGTACTTATTTGCTTAACTCCTCGTCAAGTCCGCTCCGACTTTCCTGCGTGTCTTTCTAAGCTCTGCTTCTCAAACCTGAATCAACCCTTGTTTCCGTGGTTTAATTCAGTTCCTCACCCTCCCTTTCTCGTTATGCTTTCCTTGACCCCTTGTCGAACCCTCTCAACCCTACTAATCCGCCTGTTTATCATCCAGGCACACGTTTCAGATCTTCTTGCTCCTGCTCGAGATCCTTTGGGCCGATCCTCCTCACTAGCGCACACTTCTGGACACTGACCCCGACTCTTCGAACACTCTCATCAGTACTTAACCCCTTTGAAACCCTCTCACTCCCCGCTAACTTGTATCCTAACCCTACCGCCAGGCACACGCTCCAGATCTTTTCTCCGGCTGGAGATCCTGAGGGCCGATTCTCCTTAATACTAGCGCACACTTGCAGACTCTGATCCCGAACTCCGAACACCCTCATCAGTACTTGACCCCTCTCACTCCCCGCTAACCTGTTTCCTAACCCTGCCGCCAGGCACACGCTCCAGATCTTCCTCCGACTGGAGATCCTGTGGGCCGATCCCCCCCACTGGCGCACCCTCGCGGACTCTGACACTGAAACCGCTCAGGCAAAGCTCCAAAGGTCACTGGTGACGGAGATCACGGAGCTTTTGAAGAACGTGGCCCCCAACCTCGCGGCAGGCAGTCCCGAGCAAGACTTCCTCGATCGAGAAGTCAAGCCGAGGTGAATGTCAGACCCTTTCTTGTATCGTGTGGTTGTGGTTGAACAACTTGCCGGCACAGCGAGAGCCTAGCACTGTCCCAGTTGGGAAACGACTTCGTGTGTTCGTCTCATGTGTTTTCAGCGCCTGAGGTTAACGCTTCCTCAAGCAAAAGTGCAGGACGGAAAGTCTGTCGCTCTCTTTTTGTTTTCTTGCCGAAGCATTTCTCCGTTCTTGCTTTTCCGTTGTGATCAACCGCAGCGGAGAGGCTAGGCGTCGCCTTTTTTCTCGTCGTTTCATCCGTCAACTTTGGCCCTGCCATGCTGCTTAATGCAGTCCACCTCAAATGCTTGGTTCTGAAGGGGAGGAAAGACTGGGGTTCGAAAGAATTCGACCTGCCTGCCAAACGGGAGTGTAGAAAGGAGTCGGAGCACGTGTTGAGGATTTCGGGACTGTTGAGAAGAAAGCTTCCCTTACAAGGCCTGCTGCAGAAACGCGTTTGACGCCAAGTTTCGCACTCATTTCGCCTGCCTAGCGGGCCTCCCTGGACAAACACTGGTCTTCGCTGCTGTGCGGCTTGTGTGGGGATCTTGAATACGACCGAGACGATAACAATTGATTTTATTCGTAACAAGGATCTTAGGGTAATGAAAGAATTAAAGTCTTTGGTTAACCAACACTAAAACCCTCAGGACAAATGACATGCTACGCACCAAAATTCACCCTAACCAACAAATTAACCCACCAGTCCTCCTGTACCTTGAGTTCCTTGTTACTATTTAAGTTTATCTCTATCGGAGACGGATATGTGTAGGTTGTGCTGATGGGGCGCACCGTGGAGCCTTGCCTGGGCTCGAGGAACGAGAATCAAGGTTCACGTTTGCTTACATAAGTCGTCTTGCGTGTACCGTTTCTTTCCTCCTCTCCTTCGTGTTCAACGAGCGCTCGGACCTTGCGAGTCGACTCCCCCGTCGTTGCTCCGATCCTTCTCCGCTAAGCGGCTGACCAGACACACCGTCAAAGGTGGCATGGTTTTCGGTGAAACACCAGCCTTCCACCAAAGACTAGCTCGTTGTTCAAAGAGAAACAGATCTAAGCCATGCAATTGTACGTCCCAGGTACGGGTCCAAACTCCCGGACGTCCTGAACCACGTTTACCTCGACAACGAGCTGTCCGCCCCTTTCCCTGAGTGGCTCAAACCCCCGGCCGCACGCAAGCGAGAAGGGGGTGTGAAAAGGCTCCGGAAGCGGAAGCTCAAGCGGGCCCCGCTGGCCCCGCTGGAACCCGATGTGAATACGCTCCTGTTGCAAGAACGGGAGGACCGGAGGGCGCGAACGAACGGGGAGTCCCAGTTTGCACCAAGTAAGTCGGTTGCGCGAGACTGGAGCCGGGCGGTATATTTGAAGATTGAGAGCTCACATAACAGTGCCATTTCCGTTCTTTGTGTCCACTCAAAACGAGCCTCTAGCACTTCGTGGATGCCTCGATGCATAGTTTACTGCACGTTTTGTCTGCACTCTGCAGACAATCATTGACGGCAGCCCTGCGTGCACATTCCAACTGATTCCTCAGTATCAGCGTATCGAGTTTTGCATCTTTACGGAGTACCTCAACGTCAGCTACTGAGCCCTCACATGCACCGCACCTTTCATGTCTCTTCAACTTAGCAGTAGTAAATCTTGATTATTGTAAGCTCCTGCCTTAACACTTGAAACCTAACCCTCAAAATCAGCTGCTCCGCTGCGGTACCCACCCTAAACCCCCTAGCTAACCTGACCCGTCCCAGGCTGGTATCTTACTATACTTGAAGCTTACTGTTTTGACCTGAAGCTTCATCTTTCTTTCCCCCGCAGTCGATCCGAAGCGGGTGATCACCCAACAGCTGGTCCTTCCGAAGCCCCCCCGCGGCAAAGACAAGCTGCGGCAGTCCAGCCGGCAGCTCCAAGGCCTGTTCAGCTCCGAGCCGGCCGGGTTCCGGTCCGCACCCAGCGGAATCCGGTCCGACCAGAGCGGATCGCCGCCACAGACCTCGTCGGACCTCACCGGCTTCCTGCGGGAGCGGAAACAAGTAGTTGGGGCCCGGCTTTCCGCGAGGGGGGAGCGAAGTGGCGGGCCAGGGGACCCCTCATCAGGAGCGCCGCCCAACGGCGGTGCCTTGGCCCTGCTTGGGCCCCCGGAGAGTGCCGCTGCTGACGTCGGCAACGGGCTTCGACGAGGTTTCGCTGACGTCAGCGACGAGGCGCCCCTGCCCTCACGGGCGGACCGTGCCCCCGCGGAGGGCCAACTAGGAGCGGCGGTGCGGGGCAACCGTGCTTTTGGTGGGGGGATGGATGCTACGAAAGCTTTGCAGATGGGGGGCGTGGCTGTGGCGGCAGGCGCACAAGCACCTGGGGAGCGCCAGTCCCGACGGTTATGGAGTACGCTCAAGGAAAGCCGGCCGGCTGACAAAGGCGAGGGCCCGGATCGAGGGCTGACGTCACTTGCGCCAGGGCAGCTTTTCGCCCTCGAGGGGGTGGAGAGACCGTCGCTCGGGGGGGAGGAAGAGGAGTGGGAAGACGAGGTTGAGGCTACCCCCTGGAAAGCTGGTGACGTGGATGAAGAGGATGGTTCCGAACGGGAAAGCCAGGAGAGCCCAGGAAAAATGACTGGGTTGAATCTGGAGAGTGTCCTGGACAGGGCGGGTGCGAGAGAGAGCCCGGTGGAAACAACCGGGTTCGAGGGGGAGTCTGAAGAAGGCGTCCTGCGCACGGGGGATCCAGCGGAAGACAGCGGCGCACAGGCGGAGAGCGAAAAGGCGCCCCTGGCGGTCGCTACAAGCTTACCGGAAGCTCCCTTGGATGAGGACGTGTCCGGGGGGCCTGAGGGAGAGGCCGTGCCGGAAGCGGGGGGCCACGTAGAGGTTAAGCACGAGGTGATCAGTGCCCCCCCCGAGGCAGTCCAGGAGGAAAGACCCCCCCCGAAACGGGAGGCTGCTGGCGACGCGCCGACGTCTGAAGCGAAGCCGGAAGCGACCCCTGAGAAGCAATCTCCAAGTTTTGAGACTCCGTCTCAGGACCCCATTCACACTCCTGGCGACACGCCTCTCACCCGCCAAGAGGAGCCCTCGTCCGAGGAGACCACCCCGCCGAGCAAAAGGGGCCGCGGCCAGGGATCCCTCGGGAAGAGGAAGAGAGGGAAGGGCAGCGCCGTTGGGAGACGGACACGTGCCAGCACGTCAGGCGATGGGGGCCTCCGGTCGGGAAGGAAGCTCCGAAAGCCGGATCCGACCTGGTTCAAAGCCAGGAAGACGCCGCCGAAAGCCGCGCGCGAGTTGGACTGTGGCGAGAAGCGGGCGAGCGACCGGAAGCGGGACCCGACAATCGGAACGGAATCGCCGGGAGTGGAGGCGTCCGCAAAGGTGTGCGCGCCGGAGAGCGGCGAGAGTGGGGCAAGCGAGCGGAAGCAGAGACGGACGTCCGGAACGGAAACGCCGAACAGGGGTGCGTCAATGGAATTGGAGGGGGGCTCGGTCGGGGTGCGGTTGGTGTCAAAGAAGGGTGCGTCCGGGAAATGCACACCGGTGGGCGGGTCTGCGCCTGGGGAAAAGGCGTCCGAAGAGGAATGTCCGGTCGGGGTGGCGTCCGAAAAGCAACCCCCAGGAGGAGGATTGGGACCAATGCTTACGAGAAGACGGGGGCTGGGGAAAGACTCCGCAGAAAGCTCCCCTGGTGATGGACACCCGAAGCGCCCCTCTGAGCCTGCGGAAGCAAGCCCGTCCTCGGTTCAGGGGGGTAGCTCGGCACCGACGTCAGATGCGACTCCACCCCCCCGGAGCAGGACACCTCTCGCCCAAAGGGATCCCCCTGACGAGAGCCCATTACGCCGCTACAGCAACGGAAAAGCAGCGAGAGCAAGAGGAAAAGCGGAGTGCGGTGGTACCGACGAGGAGACACGTGGCAACGCGACGAAAGACGAGGGGGAGGGTTTCAAGCCAGTAGAGACCGGCGATCAACCTCGGTGGAGCACGAGGCAATCGCCGCTGGCGTCAGCGTGCGTGCCGGACAGCGCCCAGAAGCGCGCCAGCAGCCGGAAGCGGAAACGGACGTCCGAGAACGGAACGCCCGGCGGGGCTGCGTCCGACAGCACGGACGGGGGAGCAGTTGGAACCGGCGGCGTGGCAACGCTGGTGACGTCAGCCTGCGTGTCGGATACGATCGGGTCCGCTCGGAAGCGGAAACGGCCGTCCGGAAACGGAACGCCAGAGGGTGCAGCGTCCGGAACGGTGGAAAGGGCGTCGGTGGGAAATGAGACCTGGCCGGAGCCTGTCTCGGAGAAGGCGGGATCCGCGAAAGGTGCACCAGGAGGGAAGGTTGCGCTCGGGAAAAAGGCCTCGGGAGAGCAGCGTGCGATGGAAGGGAAAGGGATGGGAAAGTCGAAGCATAGAGGGTCCGGGATTTTGGGGGCAGGAAAGGTTTCCTCCGTGAAGGGGGAGGGGTGCTCTGAACCACAGGCCGGCCACGTGTTCGCAGCTAGCCCCAGTTTGACCTCAGGCGATCAGTCTCCGGGTTCCTTGGATTTGCCACCTAACCAGGGGAGCAAGTTTCACCCTGGGAAAACGCAACCCTTCGTGAAGAGGCCCACCCTTCCGAGTGCAAGCCCGTCCCCTGGCGCATCCGTGAGAAGAGAAACGAGAGCGGGGGGAAAGGCGAAGGAGGCAGCCAGTGCACCAGCTGGGAAAGGAACGGCTGGGGAGCGAGAGACGGGGACAGCTGCCGAGACGGCCAACGAACCAGCCAGGAAGGAAACGAGAGCGTGGAGGGAGGCGAAGAAGGCGGCCAGTACACCAGCTGGGAGGGTAACGAGACCGGACGGGAAAGCGGAGGATTCTGCCGCTATACCGGGCGGAGGTGGAACGAGAGCGGGGGGAAATGTGGAAGAGGTCGCCGCTTCACCGGGCGCGAGAGAAACGAGAGCTGGGGCGGACGTCCAGGAGGCTGCTGCTACACCTGTTGGAAAGGAAACGAAAGCGGAGGAAGAAGCGGAGGGGGCTGCCGCTACACCGGGCCGGAGAACAACGAGAGCGGGGGGGAAAGTGGATGAGGCTGCTGCTACACCGGTTGGAAAGGAAACGAGAGCGGAGGGAGACGCAGAGGGGGCTGCCGCTACACCTGTTGGGAGGGGAACGAGGGCGGGGAGGAAACCGGAGAAGACACCGACTGGCAAGGCGACAGAAGCGAGAGGGAACAAGGAGGAGGTCAATGCAACACCGGTTGAGAGGAGAACGAGAGCGGAAGGGAAAGCGGAGGCGGTATCAACCGGCGGGGAAACGAGAGCGGGGAGGAAAACGGAGAGCATTACCGTGGCGCCAGATGGCAAGGAACTGAGAGCGAGGGAAATGGTGCAGAAGGGGAACGCAGCAACGGTTGGGAAGGAAACGAGAGCGGAGGGAAAAGTGTTAGAGGCTGGGGCGACACGTGGATTGGTGACCCCTGGCAAAGCGCCCGGCTTGCGGTCCGAGACAAAGGCCCGCGAGTTGAGCGGCTCGTCTTTGCGGAGCGGGAAGAAACTGCCGCCGACGTCAGCGTTCGTGCCGGACAGTGAGGAGAAGCAGAGCAGCGCACGGAAGCGGAAACGAACTTCCGAAGACGGAACGGCAGCGTCCGAGAGATCTGACGGGGGCTCGGTGCGGGGAGCGGCTGCGAATGGGAGTGCGTCAAAGAAGGTGGTGTTCAGAAACGAAGTGCCCGGGGGAGCGGGGTTTGTGCCCGGGGGAAAAGCGTCCGGAATGGAGCGTACGGTTGCGAGAGCGTCCGAAAAGAGTCCGGGAGAGGAGGGTGCGACCGGGAAGACGCGTTCAGCGAAGGTAACGCAAACAGCGAGGACGAGGAATGAGCCGGAGTTGGGGAAGGATCCGGCGGCCTTTGATCGGGGCGCCCGCAGAAAGTCGTCTGCAAAGGAAGGGTTGGGAAGCGAGTCGTCGGGAGGAAGGGATGCAAAGACTGCGTCTCCGGTCGCTGCGGCGCCCGGGAAGGGAACACGGTTTACGGATCCGCCGAAAAAGGCGTCCCCGGCAGATGGTGCACCGAAAACAGTCTCCCCGTCGAAAGTGGGGCCCAAAAAGCAGTCGCCGGTGAGTGGAAAGTCGGGCGAAAAGGCTCCGGGGAAGAAAGTGGAAAAGGGGGCACGAGGGACGCCTGGAACCAGGGCCTCGAAGCGGGGAAAGTCTGGCAAGCGGCGATCCGAACGGATGTCGCTCACGGGAGAGGCGGGGGAGACGATGGAACGGGCGAAGCGGCGCAAAGAAGCGGCGTTTGAAGCATGGGAAGGACACTGATAGAGGCAGCAGAGGATATGTGAAGCACGCTTCAACCAACTGACATTCAAATCAGGGAGGCAGCGTGTTTGCTTTGCCGCGATCTCCTTATGAATTTTCTGCAAGTTGATTCGTAACGGTTGAGGCCAGCCAAAGGACCCCATTATTACAGCTAGTAACGGTTTTGCGTATTGCGGACTGCGCGCAGCCAAAGCAACCAAAAGGAGCACCTGTCTCTCGCTAGACAGGTCTTTCGACTTTCAACAAGCTACGCCCATGCCGAGTGATCTGCGCCGCTTTTGATGCACGCCCTAACGTTATCCTCGGCGTATGAGCTGCATGCATCCTCATGTGATTGTCCGAGCTAGCTTTCGGACGCATCATGACCCCGTTGACTATACTTTAAGGATTTGACGCTCGCTGTGGTGACCCGGTCCTTGATCAACTAAATTGTCTGGCCCGTGAACGTGGGCCGCGTTCAGGCGGGTCAATCAGGTTTTCGGAATCGATAGAATATTCTCGTGACTCGAAGAACAACATGCAAGACACTCTGCAGAACCAGTAGTACTACGGTACGGCATGCCAGCTCCGCATGTGGCATGGCAGCTATAGTCGGAAAGCCTACACAGCCGCCGTGGACAAGTGCTGGACGTACGCAAAGTATGGTAGGGCCTACAGTACGCGCAAACGCGCAACCACGTGTGGGCCATAGCCTTCAATGGCATACATATAAGACTCAACATGACTGAGTTTCAAACGCCTAGCTGCCTTCAGTACCGAAACGCCATGCTATCAGCATTGATAATCATCCGGACTCATGTGACCATCACCGAGTCCATCAGAAAATTCACTTGTGTCCGGCCAAAATATAAGACTTGGCCAGGAAAGTATACGCAAATACTGGTTGAACAAGGACAACGAAAAGGATGGTATAAATGAAGCAGTGCAGATTTCTGACCAACTTGCTGGCCAGACGGGAAATGACGTACAACTGTTCAAGTAAATGACATAGCTCATGAGCCATCAGTCAGTGCACGGGCAATTCGGGCTCAGAGCCTGTACAATTATTGATGACTGTTTATTCTCATTAGTGATCTGGAAGTTGTACCGGACCAAATATTGGTGCATTCTTTATGCACATTCGACTCCAACTCCACCTACTTACTTTTTGCTCTTCTTTGCTCCTTTCGCACCTTTGGCGCCTCTCGTTTTCTTGTCCTTTTCGTCGGGAGGTATTTTCGTCCAGTCGAAGCCCTTGCCCGCTTTTGTGTCAGCCCCAAGCTGATCCCGCAAAGCTCCCCGCAGGCCGAGCGTTTTCACGATTCCCTTGCCGAGAGCCCCTGCAAGGAAACGAGCGACAGTGAGACAGGGCCTCTTGACGGTTGCCTCGACTATAGTGCAGCTAGACAGAGCAAGGGAGCTCATGGATCGCTGAGCTGCGGACAACAGTTGCTTGTTGTGTAACAAAGCTGTGTCATTCCAAAAGCAAGCTACATCCTGGGATTTAACGAGAAGTGTGATGTCGGACAATGCTTTGCCGGCCAGAGATGCTCCGGTGCAGAGGAGTTTCGCAAAGAAGCATTACAGTCCTTCGCTCAGAGGGTTGATATTCTTCCTGAATTTTCGTGGACCGTTTCAAGCGCGAAAGTTACTCTTTCGTTCGTAGCTCCTCTCTTCCAACTTCGCCCGTTAAAAAGTATTCATGCATGCTGGAATTCATCTTCTTCCCTTAACATCAGCATCAAAGCCGTTCGGTAAATGTGCTCGGTAATCGATCGCCCACCTGCCGCTGCCGCCCGCACTGAGTCGAGCCCATAGTCGGGTTGGCCCGCTGACTGCGGCGTCGGGGGCGGGCTCTCCAGGCTGGACGCCACGTGGAACCACGCCGGCTTGCGGCTGCTGGACACGTGGCCGGCACGTGCGCGGTTGCGCTGGACGACGGCGCGGCCGGGCGCGTCGTCCGAGTCCGCGAGCAGCGCGAGCGCTTTCTCGTAGCAGGCGAGGGCCTTTTTCCTGCGAGATTGGCGGACCGAGTCAGGTGCTTTGCGGTTCTGTATTAAGACTGCTCTTTCATTTCGCGTGTCTGAAACGTAGAGCGAAGATGACCGGTTCATACCAAGCGCGATTCATAGGATTCCTCATATCACGAGAGATTGTTTCCTAATCGTACAATTGGAGGGAGGGGAAGAAAAAAGCGATTGGTTGGTCGGAAGACTTTGCGTGGATATCTCGAGAGAATACATTGAAGAAGTAGATACTGGGGGAAGTACAATGTTGACAGGCGTGGAGCAAATTCTTGACAGTGAACAGATCGATGCTGACGAGGAACGGCCAATCCTCTCCTGCTGAAAGCTATTCCAAACCGGACGCAAAGGACTGGTTCCGGTTTGTTTCTTGTGGGATGCGGCTGTTTTTCCCACCGTATCCAAAGCAATGACCCAGCGCCTCACGCTTGAACACCAAACCAATGCAACTAGAAAAGCCGGCTGAAAAGATGGTTTAGTGGGTGAATTAACCTCAAAACACAAGCTTACCTGTCTCTTAGCACATGGTAACACGCGCCCACGTTGTTCAGCACAGAGACCTCCTTAGCCACCCCCCCGACGTCATCATTGCCACTCGGGTTCTCCCGCATTTGGCTAGAAGCCGCCCTCCGGGGGGCTACCGTTTCCGCGCCCACGGAACCCCCCATTTCGGACGGCTCGTTTCTAGGGCTGGCGATTCCAAACGCCCGGAACGAGTAAGCCCCGGGCCCTCGCTCTAGTTTCTTCTCCTTCTTCACCGCTTTCTTGCTCGGCGACTTTCCGAGCGCCTTTTTCGACGTACACTTCCCCAGAGCGCTTTTCGGCTTCGCGGGGGGGGCCTGATTCCACTCAGAAGCGACCGGTTCCGGACCCCCCCCGCAGCCGAGACTCGTTAAGAGAGCCTCGCAGTCGCCCCGCGCGGAGTGAACGAAACACTCGCGCGCGTCTCGATACTCCATCTTGTGGAAAGATAAAGTGCCCATCAAATCGAGCAGAAACGGCGACCGTGGAAAGCGCTTCTGATCTTTCGCCGCTTTCTCCTCGGGGACCTTCTCCGAAAGTGCTTGGTTTACACTAACCGGAGCCCCGTTTGCTTCGGTTGAATCCACCGGGTCAGACGTAACCTCTCCGGTTTGGGGCTGAACTGGGGGTCCAGTCTGCGGATCGACAGGACTCCCGCTCTGGAGAGCTGGAGTGATCTCGTTTTGAGTTACTAGTAGAATAATCTCCGCAGCATTGATCGTTTCCGACGACGATTCAAACCCCACGACCGTCACCCTGACGTCCCGGCCTGCTTCCGCCGATCCCGTCGCTGTCCTTGCGACGGATTCCGCCCTCGCTCTAGTTCTTTCCTCCTCGCTCTCCACGGCGAGCAGAAGCGCCGCCTCCGCGGCAATAAGGTCGCCCTCGCAGAGCGCCACGTGGCACGCCCACGTGGACACGCACGTCGACGCATCGAGGCTCTCCTCGCGCGCGCGCGCGGCCCGCTCCGCCGCCGCTTCGAGCGCGCGCGTGTCCTCAGACGCGCTCGCTTCGTCGTCGGAATCGAAGCCTTTTGTGACCTTCGAAGCGGCGTAATCCGAAGAATCTGACTCACTTTTCTTCTGCTGATGATTGCTCTTAGCACCATCCGTTTTGCTTCCCGATCGCTTTGACCTCGGCTCGTCTGAGTCTGAGTCGTTTTCGTTGATTCTTTGGGCTTGGCCCTCGGTTGCCGAAGCCTCTAGTTCACTGATATGGTCCGCCCATCGTTGCTTTGCTTTCCGCAGGCTCTTTCGCGCTTCCCCATACCTACAATCCAGGTTCGACACTGTCAGAATATGAACTCAGCCTGAGAGGAAAATCAACTATGCTCACACTATTTGACAGATTGCGAAGTCTTTTGGCAATTCTCTTTTACCATTCTCAGCAGCGTAGCAGCTTCGGTGTGATATAAGAGAAATTCGCTGTGAAGAGAGGCGTCTCGCTATGATAAGAAGTCTCTCGCAACAACAGTCAGAGGGCTGCGAAATATGGCGCCCTCTCCGCCAATGAAATATGAATTGCATAGCTGATTCGCGGCCAACAGCTTCGAATACTAGCACTTCTGAAATGCACGATACGGACACTGCTTGCGTCGGGCTGACGTCACCAGGCGTCTGCCTCACTATCTGCGCCTTATGCATCCATAACCCTTGCGTCTAACTCTGCGAACTCTGTGCCTCCGACGAAGACAGTCGCACCGCCCTTCAACTGGTAACCTGACATTTTCTATCCATCGAGCCTACTCGATTCCCCTGCGCAGCTTCCTCTTGCTTCCGTCTCGAAACCTTTTCTTCCCTCTCAAAACCATTTTCATCTCGCAACCAGTTTCGTTCCGAACCACTAGCAAGTAGCAGCTCGTCAGAAGATCAGCAGTACCCACCTATATCGTGACAAGTCATGAGTAGTAAAGCTTAGGAAAGTAAAGCTTAGGATTAGTAAGCTCGAACCTAAGACTGAATCCTAACATGTTGAATTACCTGCTCCGCCCGTACCCACCCTACCCAAATGAACCCCACCCGTCCCAGGTTGGAAATCTTGCTACTCCAAAGGGGCCTATTTGTGAAGCTTACTATTCCTACAGCTTATTTCTCTTTTTTGCCATTTCTTCACCCACCTCCCCTCGGCGCACTGCCGCCCACACCTTTCCAGCAGCGTCGGCACCCCTCTGGGGGCCTCCTCCGGGATCGGCAGCTCCCTTGGTAACAGCACGGGCATGTCCTCGGGGCGACACACCCAAGGGCCCCCGACCCTTTTCCTTTGCCGTGCCTCCCTGAAATTGATTAGATTCTTGTTAGCTGCCGCTTTGTGAGTCGAGCATGGTTGATAGAGAATGGTTGATAAGGAATGAATGTCCAAACCAACGAAGTATATCGAGAAAGCGGGCATGTCCCTGGGCGACAAACCCAGGGGCCCCCGACTCTTTTCCTTTGCCGGGCCTCTCTGATGACGGGAAAAAAGTGGCGCCAAGTTGGATTCGCTTCTTGTTAGCTGCCGCATTGCGAGACGACATGGTTGATAGGGAATGAATGTTCAAACCAACGAAGTATATCGCAAAACGGGCATGTCCTTGGGGCGACAAACCCAAGGCCGCCCGACTCTCTTCCTTTGCCGCGCCTCTCTGATAAGGGCATAGCAATTTTTGGCCGTTAAGTATGGATGGTTGTGAGCTGGTCAAAAGGTGGTTAATTTTCCTGTTAAGCAGAATTGGACGGTGACCAGCTTTGGAGCAAGGTTAAACACCGGCTGTTTATGCACTAACCTGAGACCAAGACTGGCAAACAGCCCGGTTGGTAAGCAGATATTAATCTGAAGGAAGTGTGGCGCCAGTTTGAGTGTGCTTCTTGTTAGCTGCCGCATTACCAAACGAGCATGGTTGATAGGGAATGAATGTCCGAACCAAACACTATCACTTGTTTTTAAACGCCCGTTGAGCCAAAGTAGAAGCTGTTGGGTTCAGTTACAGGGAAAAGAACCGGTAATTTTCTAGCTGACAACGGGACTGTTGCAAATCCGTGGTGCCATCATGACAGGATATCGGCAGCGACCGACAACCAACTTCCACCTGATTGCATTCCATCCGTTTGGCACCGATTCGAAGACACTCTCCGCTTGAAGATTCCGCGCGGTGACGCTGCCGGAGAGGGGGAAGCTCGGCGCGGTGGCGGGCCGCCCGTCGAGTGCGCTCAACGACTTCGCTGACGTCAGCGGCGGGTTCGCTGACGTCGTCGACGGGGTGCTCTTTGCCGGGTCGGGGGTTCGCCGGATGGGGTGTGCGGTCGAGGGGCGGGCGGGAAGAGTTGCGGCGTTGGTTAGGCCACCAGTTCTCCTTGCGAGGTCCGGAAGGGCCGGTTTTCCGCCGGGGGGGTGCCTGCACGGGCAAGACCCTCAGTGCACCTCGGGAACCAGTCACCGAACTCCCGTTGAGGCAATATCATATTTTCGAATCATAAATGCAATGATGCGTACTGACTTCCGCGCCACCCGCACGAACTCATTACTGTGGAGGCAAAGAGACTGGTTGAAACCAGTAGCTTTGACATTTGAAGAGAACGTCATCTCGTTTGTGCATCTTGCTGATGCTCCCATCAACCAGCTTGTGAAAGCCGAATTTGCTTTTGTCAGTGACCTTGTGCAGAAGGTTGAGCTTCCAAGGCACACTCGTGAGCTTCTGCTTCTCATGCCAAGTTGAAGCACCTGACCTCTGACTAGAACGTCAAACCTGTTCTTGTCTGCAGTCCTCTGCGCACTTACAGCTTCTCCCAATCATTGAACCTGCCAGTTTTAGTGTCATCTAATCTAGTTTAATTTCACTCAGTAACAGACTGAGTAAGTCACACTGCGACACTAAGTTTTGCACTAAAACTAGCAGGTTGCTCGGAAGAAGCAGTACACGTCGACACTGCTGGCTGACTGGTCGGTATGGAGCTTCAGGCCTCAAACGAATGATTATGGTGGGGTAAAACCACTCGAAATACTCTTGCCGTTTACTTTTAAAAAGACATAGACAGGCAGTCCCATATCAGCCTGCTGGGAATTACCTGGCCCGGACGAGCTGCAGCACCCGCACAAAGCGCTTGAACGTCACGCACGGCGAATCCCGCCCAACCGCATGTAAGTTGAACAGCAAAACGGCCTCGTCGAACGCGAGGCCCCCGGAATCGAGCAAACGCTCCGCCGCGATGCACCGGAGGAACGCGCCCTGCTCCAGAGCAAAGTCGGCAAGCTCCGAGACAAACGTGGCGTACGTTTTGAAGATGTTGTACAGCCTGACGTCACCCAGGGGCGGGCTGACGTCAGCGGCGCGGGGTGCGGCCATCGTGGATCGTTGCGCCCGTGGGCACGTCAGGAGAATGAGATGTACATCGAAGCGATTGATACGGAGGCGCTGCGCAATGCAGGAAGCGGGAAGGCCCCAATTGCTACATCTTGCTAGGTGTTACAGACCTTGATGGGGTGTGCTGAATTGCTTTTGGGGCGATTGGAGCGCTTTGCCTTGTCGTTGTGGCAGCCTTCTGACGGTTTCCTCAAGATCAAAAACTTCCTCTGGCGGAACTCCGCCTGCAGAACAGCATCCTTGTACTACTCACTGTCCCCCCAGCAGCTTATCTCCTTTATCTAGCCAAGTCATCGTTGCTGAAGTCATCCGTGACGAGGGTCACATGGGAAGGAGTCAGGTGCCGACTCATCTTCCAACGTGCTGCTCGATCCAAATCAACACTATTGGCCACGGCGCATATCTGGGAGACTGAGACCCAAGTCCGTTCATGATGCTTTACCATGCAAGGCGAAGCAGCTAGCGTCACCCAAATCTGATCTGAAACGCAAGAGAACAAGATGCGATGCTGCCACTGAAAAAGCTGACTCGGAGCCCTCCGCCAGGCTGGCTCGCATGCATCTGATTCACAGTGTTCAAGTGACTGCCTCGCGCCGTCGGGGACCGGGCCCAGACGGTCCGATACGTCACGTACCGTCAGACAATACGTCGCGCGCGCAGTGATTTTTAGTACATTCATCTCCGTACGATCTGCATTGCCTTCGTATCGACGGTACAGCATCGGTTTGACCAACGTTGACCCAGCCAGTCCGATGACGACTGACCGGCCGGCGAACGGTCGGTGCACACAACCTTTCATTTTCCAGGCGGCTAGGTGAGTCCAGTATCAGAAGAAGACCAAAGCAAATCCAGGTTACATGCTCTGCAGATTTGAAAAGGGATGTGAAGAATTCGCCATTCGATTGATTGAGTCCCGCAATCCGAAGCCTGCGGCATTGTTGACAGTCATACTACATAGTCAACCAATGTCAAACAATGAAACAATGAACGTTGCAATGCCCCAGCATTCGGCATACCAATCTATCCAGGCTCTATTTCTTGTGATGAACCTCTTCAAAACTTTTGCGAGGAAAGAGTAAGGTTAGCAATATAGTGTCTGCTAGCTTCGGGCTTTTGATTTTAGATCTCTTGATCAGCAGTTTCCGAACAAGCGTCTGAGGGATTAAAAGAGAGTTGAGAGAGCAGAGGCATCTTGGGAGCACCAGAGAACGAGGCTTGCAGCACAAAAAGCATCCGTGAAAGCTTCGCGCTTGAGTTCAAGACCATTCAGGACTGCCAGTCAAGGCTGCTAGTGCAGAAGGGAGCTAGTAGAGCGGAGATGGGGTTTTGGCGGGGGCTCTTCGGGCTGAACAAGAAGAGGATAAGCGCAGAATTGGGGAACAATGGGGAGAAGATATATCGCTACCCTTCAGGCTACGTTGCCGCCATTGTGAGTGGAGGAGAAAGTGACAGGGTGTCTTCGTTCTTCGAGGACAATGTGAAAGGGAGACTGCTGTGCAGCTTCAATCACCAAGGAGTGGGAGACATCTACTATGAGAACGGAGTTCCGAGGTGCGCTCGATTTGCTTATGACGATCTGCTGAGTTTGATCAGCCCGCTGGAGTGTTGACCAAAGGTCGGTCAGAAGTATCAGAAAATCAGAGAGGAATGAACCAACTACTTCTGGTTTTTCATGTCATTTTCAAAGTCCTTTCCACTGTACCACAGGAGCCCTGCCAGAATGCTGATGGATCCTATTTGAGCTTTAGAGTTTGCCAAGAGGTGGCATAGTAAACAAACTTGCAGCACCTGCCATAGGTGTACACGTTCACCTTTGTTTTGACCAGCTTTTTGAACAAAGTTCCTTCCAGCTACGAACCAGCTGCTAGTCTCAGACAGAGCTTCTGATGTCACTCGAAAACTGCAATGATCATGAGACTCTCTCGAGAGTTGCTGATAATGAACGAAGTCTAAAGTTCGTCTGATTCTTTCCTGCTATCAGCGGTTGCGGATTTCCTAGATAGAGAGCTGTTCCTTCGAAGCTCCCTGACGGTTTTGATAAAGTTTTAAGCAGTCTCGGAATTGAAAAAGCTTCAAATTTGTGTACTTTCCTCTTTCTGAGGCCAGACGCTTAAGACCCTTCTGCTCAAATTCAAGGTGCAACTTGGACAAGTACGATGGTTGCGAGGGAGCATATCGTCGAAATCTCCCTTGCTTCGTTTCATTTTCCAAAAGAAAAATGCGCCCTACAAGATATGAGGAGTCTCTCTGCCTGACGCACAGTCAAGATGCACAATCCGTTGTGAGAAAACTCAGGAAGTCAATGTTGATTTTCATCCTCGCTTCCATCGTTGTTCGCCAGTTAAATAACACAGACGACACCATCTATGCAAGCTCTGGTCACTGCAAACGATTGGTCAGGTTGACCACAACCCATTCCTGCGACCTTCTTCGCATACAATGACCCATACTGAATCGAGCTTAACCCAACCCGCAGGGTTTCGGTAACCACGAAAGACTGCACGTTCTTCGACATGAACGGCAACGTGAAGAAGCGGTGGACCTGGCCCCGGTTACTCAACGAGCGGGTGGAGCTGCGGTTAGGGGAGCGGTTACACGTAACCCTGATCGACCGCCAGCACATCACCGCGAAGCTGCGTCTCTCGTCGAAGATCGAAAAGATCACCGAGTTCGACTGCGGGGAGAGCCACCAGTGGCAGCAGATGCGCAAGCAAACGAACGAGCCTGAACTCGTGAGTCTGTTGTCGGTGCTGCTGCCTCTCATAAGCTTGCAGTTGTTTCTGTGCGCGGTTCGTCAACTAAGCCTGAACTTCCAGTGGAAATAAGGTGGGGGGCGGGCAGAAGGGTTCGACAACTTGATACATGCGTGCAGTCAACCCCTGCCGGTTCCAATTATGAAAATTTATCTGCTTCGAATCACCTCCAGCGGGGTTTGACTATCAGGTCTTTCTCGGGCCCGTACCGTCCAATCTTGGCTCTGGTTGTTAGTGCGGTCTTATCTGCTGTCAGAGGCCTTGCACCAAACGCCTCAGCTTTTCCTGTGAAGCTCCACAAGAAAGTCCTCGTCTCCACACCATCCGGACTCCGTCCGCAGCAGCCAGCGGGCGTTTCGTGCTTGGTTTGTTCGCTCGTTTGTCCAGAAGCCTCTACGGATCAGGATTCATCTGCAGCAGCCAACAAGCAATTTGTATTCAGTTTGTCCGCTCGTTTGTCCGCAGGCCTTAAATCGCATCCGGACCGTCCAAAAGAAGAGCAAGGCCGCGGCCATCTACCCCGCCAACGAGGACGAAGACCCGTACCTCTCCCCGATCTCCGTCCCCCGCCGCACCACGTCTCTGCCGGCCGGTCCGCTGACGCTCGCTGACGTGTCACCTGACGTCACCCCGCACGCGCCGCCGAAAGCACCTCCGGCAGTACCGCCAGAAAGAGGCCTTGTCCGGTCGCAAAGCGAAGGGGGGGTGCCGGGGCAGTTTCGGCCGATCCTGAAAATGGCGGGGCCTTTGATCGGTAGTGCAGCTGGCATTGCGATCGCGGGGCTGCTGTTTGTGGCATCTAGGGCGGGCGGCACCCCGCGTCGGTCGCAGCAACGGATCCCACATCGGACGATGGGGCGGCGTTGATGAGTGTCGAGTAGAATAGGGCGTTTGATCTTAAGATCAGGAATTTATGAAAATCATGACTTCGAAGTGTCCTTCAAAATGGACACACCCATGCAGAGTCTTAGGTACGCGACAGTGAGTATGAGGGACCAAGGAGACAGAAGTCTAGTTGCACTTTGGAATTGAGTGAAATCAAGTCGAAGCGTCGGCTTACGAAGAGTAAATGTTTCATCATTATTGCGAGAAGCGCATCCGTTGTTGTCGTCTGATAGGATCGAGCAATCGATAAGTAGTGATACACTTGCAAAATTAGTTTTGCTGACTGTCATTGCTTGTGCCGAGTCAGCAATCCAAGAAACCTCGCGCAGCTACCTGCCGTTTAGCTATTTGTTGGCTTGCTCTCACTTGTATTTGAAGGCGCCGTTCGTGTACGTTCAGTACCACGCCGAGAGGTTCAATAAAACGCTTCATTGAAGGACCTTCATACACGTTTTGCTTGAGACAACCGTTTCCGCACTGGATGACCGTAGTCTCTCTCGAAGATCTCTGTGCTGATTTGTGCATTTGGTGCGAGAACTAATCATGAGAATGATTGTTGGCAGTGACGCCGGCAAATATAACCCCAGTATTCAAGTACAAACGCGCGGACTACGTTGTGAGGATATTGCTGGTCGATTCGGTTCTTTGCGCACGTCGATCTGCGGGCTTGACACTCCCATAACTGACTCGGTGGTCATCATGATGTGTATGCTCATCAGCTTGAGCTCAAAGTCTGACCTCTGTGCAGACCTCAGTGCTCAACCAGTGATTTCATTCAGGAGGGTTAGAGTGAGGTTAGAGACTCGGAACTCGCATCCCTTTCTATGCTTTCAAATGGGTCACAGTGGTTGCTTGTAGTAGCCGCTGTCACTATGCAGATCATTCGTGACAGCCTGATATAATCGCCGTGGCGACGTTAACTGCAAAGAGCTTCCTGGATCGAACAACAGCAAGCTAGCGAATCCGACTGATTACCTGGGCAGGCTCGCTTCGGTGTGTCACATCGGACCCTGGATGGGAGGATTGAAGTCAGTACAGGCGCGCAGTCACTAGCCTAGTAGCCACCATCGCCTGAGTGGCCCGCCCGCCGCGGGGCTGAAGCGCGGCCGCCTGCGGGGCGGCAGTCGACGCGGCCGCCCTCCTTGTCCGCGCGGCCGCCCAATGCCAACTTAAGCTCAGCTGGAACGGTACCGCCGGTACCATACCGCACACATGGATGAAGCCACGGACAGCTTGGCAGAGACTTTGCGAGAAGGGGGATCACCCGGGTTGGGGCCACCGCGAAATTGCTGGGCCATCCGAGTGCATAATACAGGTACGCTTTTGAGAGGTGAAGCAAAGAAGACTGCTTCAGCACTCAAGGACGCCAAGGAACTCAGAAGGCTTGGAAGCTCTCTGCATCCTCCGCGCCAACAACACGAACTCAGATGCATCTTACATTGAAAGGGCCGGCTAATTTTGGTTTACTTGCATACTGCAACATGCATATCCGCTGAGTACCTTGAAAGCCTCTCGTCCACCAGCTGTCTCGGATGTCCTTTTGACTGTTGGCATTCAGAAAACTCAGACAAGGAGCCGGTGCAAAGGACCTCCACTAGTTTTTCTTGACGTTTGAGCATAAGTGTCATGGGTTTTTCAGCCAACATGAGTCCTGGCGCTTGTTGATCGAATTTGTCATGTGGCACACCCACAGCATCAGCTTGTCGGGTATGCGACATAGGGCAACTGCGCAAGAGTCTAGATAACTTAAGTAGCTCTTGCAACGCAAAAGAAGTTGGTTGAGAGCTCGCTTGAAACACCAAGAGTTCTTGTGCGACTTCCAGCCATTCGCGGCCACCTCAATCTTGTGATTTGAAGATTCAAAGGTGTCTACGTCTGCTACTCAACGGCGCAACATTGAGGTTGATTAGAGCAAGTGAAGGGCACCAAAGAAAGCGAGCCAGGTGAGGGGGTTCGCCTGTGGTATCATATATCTTTGATATATTCACATTGCTTATTTGAGTTTGCGACACAATTCTCAGCAATCTATCATCAATACAATGATGTGCTTGAGGAACTCTTTGGCTTACCAGAATCTGGAAATACACCAAAGATAGGCAGAAATAACTTCCCGAAAGGCAAGCTCCAAACAATGCCAGCCACAAAGCTGAGCTTGCCCTCTTACCACTTGCCCTCCACATTGCTCCTCCTTTGTCTGTTTGCTCACAGCCGGGCTAGCCTGGTCATGTTTGCGATTGAACCCTGAGTTTCTTCGCACATAAGCCTGCCTGCCAGGAGTGCTTTATCAGCACTTGCAAAGGGCAAGCAAGCTGACTGTGACAAGGTTTCTTTTCGTAGAAAGTCACTGAGCAAGGCACGAACCAATCTCAGCTCCCGATGCTTTCCCTGCATTGACCCAAAGCAACTCTTGCCGTGTGTATATTGCCCAGGCAAACGCGATCCTTAGCACGGAGCAAATGGAGCTAAGCACTCTTAAGTCAATTGCAGGCGAATGAAAATTACTCTCCTCAAAACAACACTCGCCTCAACGCTTCATTCATTGACTCTGCGCAGGTGCAAATCCAAGCATCGGAAGGTGGACGCCGTGTTTTCTGCAACTTTCACCATAAACGAAGACCAGATTTCCAATGGGGTGCTTTTGCTTTGGCGAGGAAGGGCCGAAGGTGCAAGTTGGAAGCAGAGGGGAGGAGATCTATCGCTATCCTTCAGGGAATGTTGCTGCTGTGATCCAAGGAGGAAGCATGTCTTCTTTCTACGAGGACTCAAACAGGAGAAGGCTCTTGTGCTGGTTCACAAGTCAGGGGGAAGGGAAGATCTACTATGAGACAGGCCAAGTGAGGTGGGTATCAATGCCTAGCTATGGAATCTTTCACCACCTCGTCCTAGCTATGATGAGTTTCACTGAATACTTACCTTGGAAAACACACTGCGCAGGGGCCTACCAATGATTGGGTTACTCCTCTTTGTTTTCAACCGTTTATCCAGAAGACTTTTGCAAGAAAGGGTTGAAAGCAAGCATGGCTGCTTGATGTCTGAGTAATTGTGGTGACAGATTATAAGTATCTGGCTTCCCACTTGCTTGAGCTTTGAACGTCAAGCTGAGCATCTTCTGATACGAGACAAGCGAGTACTTCGATTCGACAATTCATCCTGTCATCTAGTTGCCTAATCCTTGTTGCTGAGATCCGCAAAATGTATGGGGTAACTTGGTCTTTGACTTACATTGCTTACCCATTCAGCGGTTGCTTGATCGTTCAAAAAGATCCTAATTTGACATGTTTTATTAGCAAGCCTGACTTTTGAAGACATCCAATCAGATGACGAACCAAGTTGCGTTGTTCATGCACTCTTGGACAGAAAGTTTACAACTTTTCAATGACCACTTCTCTACATTTTTCAATGGTCAACATTTTAGCATCTCAAAAGCACCAAAAGGAGCACTTTGTCTGTTGCAAAACGCGCCGACTCATCAAAGGCTCTTCGGTTGCAGGGTCTCTATGACGAAGACGGATTGCACATTCTTCGCCCCCGACGGTCACGTGGCCAGAAAGTGGACATGGCCGAGACTGCTGAAACAGCCGGAGGAAATCCGGCTGGGGGAACGGATAAACGTGACGTTGATCGACGGCGATAACATCGTTACGAAGCTCAAGTTGCAAAAGAACGGCAGGATAACAGAGTTCGAGAGCGGCAGGGCCGCCAGGCGGTGAGCATGACGAGGCTGGGGGGCGATTCCGTTTTAGTTCCAGCGGAAGCTAAACGGAGTGGCTTTTCTGCTGAATCCAGGAGGTATGGCAGCGTGGGAGAGTCCCCGAATTGCGTACGTCCGTACTTGTTCAAGCAGGAAGCATCACGCAATCTGGGGATCGGGAAATTACGTTTGAAGTGCCCAAAGGCCCACAGACCTTTTCTACAGTACCTCAGCCCACCTTTGCCGACGTACCCTGGGAGGTCGTCACCAAGGTTTATGTCGGTGTTAGTGAAATGCTGCATTAGAAAGGTAACATGACGTTGCTTTACTGTTCTCTATCGACTACAGTAAAAGTTGGACCACCAACCCCTCAGAAGATCTGAGTGACTGGCACACTAAATCTCATGCAAGCTAGAGTCAGATCTAGCTAGATGCGAACGGTCAGTTGGTTCCTGTAGCGAGTTCAATTCGAAAATCATACCAACAGCTTGCACCCCAGCCGAGCCGGCCGACGACGTCCATGCTTATGCACTTCAACAGAGGAAGCTTGCGGTAGTCATGCATACAATGCACGCGCAGGGTCAATCTGTCGCGTGCACAGATCTCCTGAGTCGCGATTGCTTATGCTTGGATTAAAAAAGACTCAAAAGTGATTTTAGCTAACAATCAGAATATTTTGCAAGGCCGTCGAACATGTACTCAAACAGGTGCGGACATGGCCCGGCGGGCCGGGATCGCATCTGAAACCTCTGATGAGTGAGATTGGGGCTTAGCTTGTCAGCTAGATCGATCCGACCACTGATGCATGCACACGTGTCGCGCGGCCGCCTACTCGGCAGTATCCATATGAGGGTGGAGGGGAACTCGAGAGAGCTTTTCATGTAACTTGGCTCGCGAACACTTCTGTTGCAAATGCCCTGCCAAATTTTAGCCCATGCACATCACGCGTTGAGTCCGCCGGAACACGTTCAATGTCTGGACTACGTACGGAAAGTGATGCAAGTTGATCCATGCCATGATGCAGGCAACATGAGAGGAATGCATGCTGTCGTCGCCGGGAAACAGGTTTTAAAGCAAGAGGAGTCTGCTGTAATTGTTTTTGCTGGTTATATCCGTATCTATATTGCAGGCCTATAGTGATTTGACTGTCAAACGCGTGTTGCTCAACATACATGTACATGTGGCGAACCTGATTCTCGTGCAGCTCATTGCAGATCATTGTAAGCTCTTCAAGCTCAACGTCCAAAAAAAAGGTAACCCGGACAGTGAGACACCTGTTCAGCCAGCAGAGGTCCAACGCTTCGAGGCTCCTATTGAGGCGCTTGCCCCGATTCGCTCGCTCGCGCCTGTGCTTGGATGGAAGTGAGGCATATGGTGGTGACGACGTCAGCAACCGTGCAGCCCCTGCTGAGGTCATTCACCGGCTTGCGGAGCCCCTGCAGCATGGGGCCGATCGCGAGAGCGCCCGTCGACTGCAAAATCCCAAGAAAGCAGTTGAGGATCAGGATTCTACAGCTGAATAAAAGCGAAACCAGAATCCTGTCGGTTTCGCTCCCCAAGTCAGACCCTGTTTAGAAGCGAGTGTAAAAGGTGAGTCGTCCAGAACAAGTCTCTAAAAGACGAAAGCCTCAGGCAAGATAGCTTGTCACAGACCTCGATCTTGCAGGCCTTAATGCGGCCGCCGCCCCTACAAATCTACCATTACCTTGGTAATCTTTGGAGAGAGGCCAAGGAAACGCGTAAGATACCGCACTGGTATTGCCCTGTGCAGGTTGGACGGTTGCGACGCTACCTACCTAGCAGCTTTACAATCTCTCAGCTCTTAGTCACTGCTCTACCCGGCGCTGCAGCAGTCCAAGTCGTTCTGCCTTCTGCTTGCTTGTTCCGCTTTGAGTTGTTACGTTCCATTCTGGGCATACTTACCCGAACGCCCGGCCTCCACATGTGCTGGAAGACCGCGCTTAGTTGCGTTGCAGCCGCTCGCAAGAGGCGAAGGAATAACCATCTTTCGGATATATTCTATAAACGCAAACCAAAATTTACATATATAACCGGTATCTCCAGTTCATCCCCCAGTGGTACGTGCATTCCCACCTGCTGAACCGCCTTGTACGTGTTGTTCCCGGTGTTGAGATCCGGGAAGATGAGCACATTCGCCTGCCCGGCCACCTTGCTGGCCCGCCCCTTGAGCTTGGTCTTCGCGGTCTGAGGGTTCACCGCTGCATCGTATTGAAGGGGTCCCTCAATGGCCAGCTCCGGCCGCTGCTGCTGGGCTATCCGTGTGGCGTCGATGACCTTCTGGATGGCGGGACCTGCGAGCGGAACGGAATCTGTCGGGGGCGGAAAAGGAAACACGTCGTACTGAAGGGGGCCCTCGATAGCCAGCTCCGGCCGCTGCTGCTGGGCGATTCTGGTGGCGTCGATGACCTTCTGGATGGCGAGCCCAGCGAGCGGAACCGGATTCCGGTCTCGGGATGTGTCCGGGGCGGAAAAGAGAAGAAGAAGTGAGGAGTTGCGGCACGAAGACAGCTTCTGCTAATGTCTGAAGCAAAGAGGAGGCTTTCGAGCGGCATCGGCTCCGATCTCGACGTCTGTCGGGGATGGGCAAGGGGAAGAAGCGGGGAATTGCGTCGTCAAGGCAAAATCGGAGGCGAATGTCTGAGGCGAAGAGGAGGCTTCCGCTTGGGAAACTGCTTTCAGGCGTGCTCGCATCCAAGGGGAAGGTTTTACCTCGGTTAACGGGTTTCTTGTCAGCGGTCGAGCGCATCAGAGCTTTAGCAAAAGCTGGTAACCGTGTTTTAGGTTATCGGTAACCAAAGCCACAAAATCGGTGTAAACAGACCGCCCATCACCTTGGTTCGAGTCGCCAGTAGCGTACGACAGCATGGCGACACGTGGCTCCAATCCGAACGCTTTTGCAGAGTCCGCCGAAGCCATGGCGATCGACGCAAGCTCGTCGGCGTTGGGGTTTGTGTTGATGGCGCAATCGCCGTAGACCAGGACTTTGTCGGGGAGACACATGAAGAATACGCTGGAAACGACGGGGATCCCTGGGTCCATCTGAAAGAGGGTTTAAAAAGGTTTAGATGAAAGAGGTTTAAGAAAGGTGAAGATGCAAGCTCAGGGTTGGAGGAAGGTTTGCGAGGGGTTAAGGTAAGAAAAGAGGGTTAGGCAGGATGAGATATCGGAAGTGACTTCCAATTGGGCTTTCTCGGGCTTTATTGGGCTTTATCGGGCACATGAAGAGGACGCTGGAAACGACGGGGATCCCAGGGTCCATCTGAAAGAGGGTTTAGCGAGCTTAGGGTTAAACGAAGGTTTGCGAGGGGTTAAGGGATAAATAGAGGGATAGGCGGGTTGAGTTGTAGAGCGCGACTTCGAGTTGAGCTTTCACGGGCAGGCACGTAAAGAAGCCGCTGGAAAGGACGAGGATCCTCGGGTCCGTCTGAAAAGGGTTTGGTAAGAGGGTCCGCAAGGGTTTGGTAAAGGGTCTCAGGAAAAGAAGGTACGGAAGTAGCCACGGATCCGGAGAAAGGCTTTTGGTCGGGGAGGCGCTTGAGGAAGACGCTGGAAACAACGAGGATTCGTGCATCCTTCTGAAAGCGGTGTACGAGTAAGTCAGCCAGCTACAGAAACGAACTGAGCCGCGTCAGAAGTCAGGAGGTAAGGCTAGGATTCCAGACCAGAAACGTTCTAGGATTCCGGCAAAGGAATTGAAACGAGAGAGTGCTCAATTGGCGAGGATTCGTTAGCCATCCCTACAGGCCGAGGTAAGAACGGGTCAAGCAACAGTCCGAGGAATTACCTGATGTGTTGATTACTTAGTTAGGACTGGGGGCATGGTTGGCACAGGAAGCGAGCTTGAGAAAGACAAAGAACGATAAAGAGGGGCCCGGATGCCGAAAAGACTGCATTTGGGCCGCTTTGGTTGATCGGAGATTCAGGCTCCGCGTTTTGTGAAACAGAGTCGAAATCCAAATGCGGTAGGAGGGGCACAGAATGAACATCTGGAGCAGAGAATGCGGAATCCATCTGGCGAGGGTTGCATAAAGGTTTGGCAAGAGAGCAGTCTGACTCGAGAGGTCTGCGCGCATTCACCTTGATGATCTGCAGGGCCGGCCGCACTGTGTTAGCCGTGGTGTGTATGGCCCCCGAGACCATGCCGCTGGCGTCACCAGCCTTCACCATGGCGGTGCCGAACACGTTCACGTCCTGCGTCAGCTGCTGATGCGCCTGCTCTGGCGTCATCCCCTGCAGGTGACGTCATGACAGCGTCAGCAGTTTGCCTCGCTTTCCGGTGTCATCGTGAAGAATGTATTTGCTCTCGGCGAGCCTGACCAGCCATTGCGAGTGGAGTTTGATTCGAAACCCGCATTCTGGACCCCAGAATCATAACCCTAGTCTCGTATTACCCCAGATTCGTAGCCCCGGACTTTCAACACCAGAGTCGAATTTCCAAATACCATTTTGTTAACCCCAGAGTCTATCGCCACGCCAGCTTTCCCTTGCCTTGTGCTTCCTCTGCTGCACCGACGAAGCCCGGTGTATGATCGTCGCTTCGCTCGAGTCAACCCGTAGCTGCTTGGCTAAACCCTACCCCCTGAAACAATGGAAACCCAAAACTTCTAAGCTTCCTTACCTTGTGCTTCCTTTGCTGCACCACCAGATCCACGTACTTCTCCAGGTCCGGCGAGCTTGCCGGATCGATGATCGTCGCCTCGCTCAGGTCCACCCGCAACTGTTTCGCTTGCGTCAGAATCTCCTCTTCCGGCCCCAGCAGAATCGGATGGCACAGCCCGCGCCGGAGGGCTTCCGCGGCAGCCAGAATGATGCGCGGCTCGGTGCCCTGCAGAAAAAAGGCGACCTGAGTTTCGAGGGTCCGATCGTGACGTCAGCATCTTTCTGTTGATGACATTGCCGTCGGCATCCTGCTCTGCCCGTTGATGGAAATGACAGAGCCCTGCATGAGGATCAATGTGCGGCTGTGCTTGGCAAGAAGGTGTGCGCACGTCGGGATCGAGTCAGTCTCAGTGTTGGACATCTGAATCTACAGACGTACGGAAGGTTGGATTGGCTGAACGTTCGAGCGCCTAGGAGCTAGAGAGCAGGTCGACTTAGACGTCCATCACAACAAAACCTCGGAATGGCATCTTTGAGCACGGAGATGCACTCAAGGTCCAGTACAAAATTGCACTCAATGGAGTCAGATCTAATCTGCGAACATCTTAGCTGTCGAGTAGGAAGTATGACCTAAGCTTTGGGGCACTCGTTGTAATTTGGCAGTCCCTACACGAATGACCAGATAAGACCTGAGGTTTGAGGCACTCATTCAATTCCGACAATTTTTGAAGCAATGAGGAAAGCCAGACCAAAGGCGGCGGAACAAGACGCACCTCTGGAAGCACGATGCGTTGCTTATCTTTGGCGGCCTTCTTGTACAGCTGCAAAGGAAAGCGGTTGTGTTAATGCCGTCTCGCTGATCTGACTGCTTCGCAGATAGAAAGCGTGCGCCGGTCCAAGCGGCACATGCAACGCACCCAATGTCTTACGAAGAAGCGCAAACCGCACCCTACAACGATCCGTACTGTGCGGCTTTGCACATCGGTGTTTGAAGACATTTGATGACGTCAACGTGACGCCACAAGGACAGCCGTTGAAACAGAGCGACGTTACGGCTGTTCTTAACCTTTGCCCCGTACATTTGGAAATGAGCAATAATGATGACAGGCGGTCCACACTTTCTCCAATCTCAAAGACTCCCGCCTTCATCTCTCAATGACTCTGTCCTCCAGGTGAAGGCATGTAATCATCTTACTTCCGTCGAGGGCCGAGCCGTTTGCGCAAAATCATCCGCGAAACCATCGGCAGAACTTGCGTTCGAGGGCCCGATATCGAGACCGCGTTTCGGGCCTGTTCGCACAGCTGCTTCTGGTGGGAAGAAAGGACGCTTCGGAGTGCATTTGGAACGGTCAAGAAGGAGACACGGTTGAGAACCGAGCGCGGATGCTTACATTGTAGACAAAGAGCTTGGGGTTCAGTTTCGTGGGCTGGTCCTTGAGCAGCGCCTTCACGACGGGGCCGAAGTCGATGTTGGAGTCGAAGAGGTGCTGCAAAAGAGCCACGCGATGAGCACCGCGGAAGATACCGTAGATGCGACGGTTTTTCTAAATCCTAAAAGCCTAAGCGCCTAGAACTTTAAGACCCTAATCCGAAAACCCAGGTTTGCAGTGCTTTACGGAGTATGGGGCAGTGCGTTTTGAACCTATGAGTTGACCGGTTTTATTCCAGGTATTTTGACGCGCGACAATCCTAGATCAAAGCCCATGACAATCATAGTACTTGGGCAAGAGCTGGAACGACTCTGAACCAAGATTGACGCACAATCAACAAGCAGATACAATGGAAAAATCTATGGAGTTACCACAAAGCTTACAAATCCAGCCTGCTGCTCCAAAAGCATTCCTAGAACAAGCTCGTTCAGACCTTCCAAGGCGACCTTGGATCCACGACTGACATCTGGGGGATCCCCCGACAATCGTCCCTGCCCCCACCTTTGCTCGCTCGATCTTGCGATCCGACGACGGCAGGATTCTGCCCTCGAGTCCGTACAGCTTTGCTGCGGTATCGAAAGTGGGCAGCCGCGCGAGCAGGACAGGGAGCGAGTCCTCCTGCTTGTGGGACCGCAGGACCAGGTCTATCTCCTTCGAGGGCCTGCGACGGCGACCGGGAGGCGCGGTTAGAGGGCTGCCTGGTCGCCGAAAAGGGCGCCTAGTTGACGAGGTAAGAAACGATTGCGGTTGTGCAGGTGCTTGGTGGGGAAGTCTTTGAAAGTATCGTTCCCGGAGACCAAGCACGTGAGTGATGCTCGTGATGAATAAAGAAATAAGCCAGCCTCTTGACGCAAAAGATAAGTCGTCTGTGTCCTTGTGACCCCTGCCACAAAAACCTTCTGAGCGACTCTTGAAATGTTTCGAACGGCCGGTTGAATTGGGCCCGCACGTGCATGATAACCGTCTGGACTTCGCTGGACACTCAAAAGACACTCGGCTTGTTGCCGACTTACTGTACTTCTGGGAAGGGCGATGAAAAACGAGGCCTCAAGCTAATTACAGACCTGAATCGACAATTCACGCGCTACACACGCAAACCCACGCAAACCCCCTCGCTAACCCCGCCCGTCTCAGTACTGCCGTTGTCCTTTACTTTGAGCCTATTGTTTATTTCACCGATCGGCATCGACTTACTCTCCTCCGCCGGTGAGGACAAGCGCTGCGCAGTTGGCCAGCTTCGCCGTCTTCTGCAGCGCCTGCATCGCCAGGATGACGTCAGGCCGGCCCGCGTTGGTGATGACGACAGCGCCCTGCGGAGAAAGTGTTAGGACTCAAGATTTTACAGGGCTGCCACGTGTCAAAGTTCTGAGAAACAACATTGAGGTTTACTGTGCTCTGTGCGACGAAGTCCGTCTTCTGTGTAGGGAAAGCGAGAAAGACCAGGTAGCACGTAAGGCTGATTGCAGTGTTGACTTAAAAATGGGGACTGATGGTGCTTGGGGTCGCAGTCGGACCACCAACAGATTCTGACCGGTCCAATCCTGCCAGCATCTTACTCCAGCGACGCCACGAAACTGTCTGCTTAGGACTGGACACCAGGAGTATCCCGAAAGATTCGCAAAGAGCGGTCTAAGACTTTTTGATACTTTTTGAAAGAATAACGCTAAGCCAAGATAACAATGAGCTCCGACTAACACTAGAACCGTAACCGAAAAAAGTACCTGCTCCGCACCTCCAGCCACCCTGCCCCCCCAAACTAAAGCCACCCGTCCCAAAACGGTTACCCTCAAATCATCTTTGGCTTGTTATAATCTTTCTTGGATTCGATGAAGGAATCCTGGGCCAGCCACGCACCTTGGTGGGTTCCAGGTGCTTGGGGAAGTACGTCAGCAGCTCCTGGAGGTTGAGCGTGGCCACCACGTATTGCGTCACCTCCGTGTTCATCTGGGGGGGCGACTGGCCGCCGTACAGAATCTCGGCGCCGAGAGCCTGCTGCACGTCCACCACCTGAAAATTGAAAAGATCTGTCTCTTGGTCAGAGTGACGTCAGCACTCGACAGACGTCACATGTCCTTGGCGTCGAGAGCCTTCTGCACGTCCACCACCTGGGAAGAAGCGGCCCTTGGTCAGCGTGACGTCAGCCTTTGACGGTCGTCACACGTCAACGCCGACAACAGAAGATTCCCCGACTGCGCATGCTAGCAAATTCGATTGGATGTCGCCCCGTGCAACCCTGCAAGATCCTTGATCCACTACGTTCAACCATCACAAACATTCTGCAGACCAGACGAGATGGACGGTCTGCGTGAGGAGATTCGAACTTACCCTGAGATGATCAAGCACTCTCCCGTTTGACTTGAGCTCAGTACGACACCCCGCCAGCACCCTTTGGACACTCATCTTCACTGCCTTTCCTTCCCGTTTTTCGAGAACCTTACAACGATGAAGGCCCCTCACCGTCGCAGCGTTGATGTAGTCGTCATCAGGTATGGCGCCCGCGTACAGGAGCCCCGCCTCCCCTAGTTGTTGGCGCATCGCCCCTTGCACCCGTGTGTTCACCAGATCCCCGGGCACTCTATGGGCCAACGCCGCGACCACTTCCACGTTCTCCTTGGCGAAGGCCGCCTGGGACAACCGACTGGCCGCCACCTGGCATCAGCGGATTGGATGCGTTGGAGGGAGTTTCAAATTGGAGTTGAAGCTAGTCACGACTGTCAGCGTGAGGACGAGCTGACGGCTTTTTTAGACATGGGATTGTTTGGACGTCTCAGACGATAATTTGGACACTGCAGAATCAGATCAGGACATATTGGACAACATAACAGAACGTCCGGACAGAGTATCAAAAAGTTTCACAGCTTATCAGGAGGTCTTTGCCAAAATATTAGGACGTTTGAGAAGGAAAGAACCGGTTGCAGCTGTTACTGTTTCTCCGACTGCAGCTACTACTGACAAGACTACAAGCGCTTGCGAGTCGGCTCTGATCATTTATCTTCACGGGGGTTTCGAGCTGTGCCCTGCATGAGTGTCTTTGAAGGCATCTCATGTGCTTACAAGCCCGCAAGTCAAGTTCGCAGCGACAAGAGATAGACAAGCAACATAATCTTGGCCATCACACAGTCCCCCTACAATCATAAACTAGAACCTCCGAGACCATGAAAGAATTGATACATAAGGGGAACAGGTTAGAAACTTGAGGGAGGCCCTTACCAGATGCTCCTGAAACTCCTTTTCCACATTTGGGACTTGGCGGGGGGCTAGCTTCGCAGGTCCGGACTCGCCCGAGGGCGTCGTCAGGCGCGCACAGTTGATGGCAAAGATGGCAGGGGCGCCGAGCATGGAGCAGATGCGCGCATTGAGGGCGTCCACATCGACGCGCTCGTTGACTTCCCCGAAAGATGTGCCTTCGATGCTGCATGAATCATGTAATGGATGCTTTTTACAGGAAGCTGGTTGTCTCAAAAGAAGTGCCTTCGATGCTGCATGAAATAGCTATCAGATGCTTTCCATAGAAAGCCGAACGCTGTGACTTGCAAGAGGGGAGCAGTTGAATAACCTCAAGGTCATTCCTGACGAGCAGTTGACCTTGTTGAAAACAGCATTAAGGATTTGCCGACTGGCAGCGCAATTCACAATGAAGCGCCGAATTGTTCAAGACCGACTCTACAGGTCGGACAATGGAAAACGTGGACAAATAATCCGGGTTATATCTTTGTCTGCATCATCGAGCAGGCGAAGCTTGTGCGTATGAGAAGCTTTCTGGTAAAGATTGTTCGCGGCGAAAATTCAAAACTGTAGGAGTAGGGAAGGACACTCACAGTACAAACTTGTGTTGCCTCTTGTACTTCTCGTAAGCTGCAGGATGGAAAAGGGCTTAGAAAAACGGGCTTTGGCTTCCAAAAGAATTGACTTGGACAACTTGCAACAGAGGCAGGTAAGGGGTACAACATTCCACCCGCTACGTTGCAGCGGTTGGAACGAATTTGAATGCATCGTCTACAGGGCACCGATAGCGTTTGCTATTTGAGTTTCAAAACTTAAGGCACTTGCCTTGATGATCATTTACCTTGAAAAGTCCCTTTCCGTGAAACTCGCTCACGGAAAGAGCGAGAAGAGTGTTTGGTCAGGAAAAAGAAGAGCTTGGAACCAGTTCAGTCATAGCTTGAATGGGCTCACCTTGCAGTATCTTCTCAAGCAACTCGTCGGATCTGTTTGTGGCAAGGTACTCAAATGCTTCGCTCTGGTGGAATGCAATTGTGTCTGCTGGGTTGTCGTCCTTGAGCTCCAAAACCTGCATACATAGAATGTAACTCCTGTGACCTTGCAGTTTGTTCTAGACCCAGGATGTGGTTGATTCTAATTTGTAAGCCCTTGATACAAGTTCGTCGCAGCGACAATCAGAGACACAAACTCCTGTGGCCACAGGATTGTAGTGAAAAAGTGAGAAGGGGACTTCTCTACGTGTACCACCCTTGGGACAGGGGCCTTTGTTGTGCCTTCAACCTGAGGTTAGTGCACGCTGCAACCTCTGACGAACCATTTTGGCATGCATATAGCATCGGCTGATCGAATTCCTGGAGAATCCGAGGGAACATGTAGACTGCTGATTCAACAAATTCTCAACCACCATTTTAAGAGTTGATTGGAAAGCTCAAGTCTGCTGTAAATCTTTGATGTGAAAAGGTTAGGAGCTGCAATTTGGATGTCAACCCCTTAGGCAGCGATGGGGCTCCTGATGCGATCTCCAGCAGTCTTGATGCTTATGTCTGGTTTGCCCTTCCCCTCTGGTATTCCAGCTTTCCGCATGTGCTGCACTGAGCTCCATGCAATCAGCCCAGCCAGATTGGTTCCAAAAGCATGCACAACCGTGGTTGCTAACTTCCTCACCCGGCTGATCACCTCCCCCCGGGCACTTTTCGATGTCGCAATTGGCCTGAAGAAGCCAATGTCTTGCTCGTGTCGCTCCAGAGCGTAAGCAAAACCAATGGGAACCGCATCTGAGTGCCGGCCATACCCCCCAGTGTGGTGGATGTACAGACACTCGCTCTGGATTCCCCGACGCTGATCACTTGCAGCATTTGCTGATGCATGCCTCCAAAATGCATTCTGAGGACGGCACAACACATCACTCAAAACCCCGGGTCTGTTGAAAGCTGTTGATGTGGAGTATGAGCTGCGTGGATTAAGAGGCTCCAATTCCCAATGCGCGCTGATCAGTGTGGCTGCGCAGCGAAACTCTGCATGCTTTGTGGTTGTGTGCTGGCGCATCAACCAGCTCAAGACGCCGGTCACTGCGTGCCTGGGGAAGCCCGCCATGGCAGGCTACCTGCAGACTTCTCTTTTCAGCTGCAGAATGAGAAGCTTTTGCAGGTCGACATTGGTGCCCCCTTGCACGAATTTGCAATGCATTGTGCAATGCGAGCACTGCTTGCGAGCCGCTGCTGCCATTGGTGCCTTTTCCCCGCGAATGACATGGAAGTGAGTCACGTGCCAGCGGGGACAGCATTCGACAAACCAGACCTCAGGAGAGTTTGCTTGACAAATCTTTTCCTTCACGTGATTGCCACGTGGATCTGACGCTGAGGCAAAGTTGGAATCTGAAACCCTAATTCTATGCTGTCCTGAGCTTGCGGAAGTTGCAGATCTCAAGAACTTGAAGTTGAAGAAGCCACCAAACTTAAAGCCTAAGGAAGGAAGGCCTTGGTGCGTCAACTGCTTGAGCTTTGGTTCCTCTTCCGAGAATTCAGCACCATGGCGGCCTCTGCGAGGTGTCTGCAACGGCTCCCTCTTCACTCACTCTCCCCCCTTCATTCACCTGACGGACGCCAAGCAAGCGCCCTCAGTCCTGGCCTGACGCCCTGTCAGCATTGTCAGGGGAGGCTGCTTCCCGACCATGGCAACTTTCTAGGAATTCCCAAGAGTTTGGCTCTACTAGTTCACGGGCTTCTGGGGCTGAATGCAAGGGAGCGTGTGCGACCTTGCAGAGCAGCCAGAATTGAGGCGGTCACCAAGCGCAATCCCAAGAGGTTGAAGTATGCTGGGTCGGGTGGGGGAGAGAAGGTGAGGCTTGCAGCGTCTTGAGTTTCAAAGTGTTGTGGACAGTCTGCTGAATTGGAGAATTGAGATTTAATGCGTGCCCCGATGCATCTTGGACAAAGCACTGGTTTCCTTGGAAGTCGTTTTGAGCTTCAAGGAATCAGCACCCTGAACACTGAGATGTGAGCGTGCTTGCCCTGTTCGAGACTGAAGTTGCAACTTCAAAGAAGTGAACTGCTCAGATGCTGCAGGAGGATTCAATGGGCACTTAAGTCACGATTACTGCTGTTTCTGATCACTTGGCTGCAAAAGGTTTGTCAAATTGTGTTCCACTTTCTTGCAGTTGGAAGACTGTGTCTATGTGGAGGTCAGTCAGGACGCATCTGATGGCTGGAAGCTGGACCAGATTGCAGACGCCATCAAAGGAGGAGGGGTGGGGGTTATACCAACAGACACGATGTAAGTTTCAGCCTGTTGTGTATGGCAAAGTGAGTGTAACTGCAACATGCAGGGTCTTTCAACTTCTGTGATTCTACTTCTGGTGCTGCAGCCAACTGCTTGAGTGGTCCTGCTACTGATGTGCAAGGGTTTGCCTGATTGGTTTTATGATTGCGCTCATTTGGTTCAGGCAAGAAGTTGCACAGTTCCTCAAAAAGGCGCTGGGACGTGAATTGGACTTTGCAACATTTCGCCGCATGTCCAGACATGGGAGTTCTGGTCTGATATCGTCTTACACCCTTGTTATCTTGCAGGTATGCTTTCGTGTGTGACCTAGAGAACAAGGCAGCGGTGGATAGACTTTACAGGTGCGTCCAGCCTTTTATTTGAGAGTTACAGGCCTTCATATAGTGGAGAAAACGGGCCATGAATCTAAATTGGAAGGAATGAACTGCCTCTATCAGCACCAGTGTCTTCTGTCGAGCTATCCTGTTCAACAGCTGGACTGTGCTGTCATCTGAAGTGCATCCAGCTTGACAGAAGCTTTCAGCAATTTCTTCTGCTCTCGCATGGGTTCTCTACCACTCCAGGTAACAGCAACCAGTCATTGGAGATTCTCCTGTTCAATCCCAAGCTTGTTGATTACGTGCTCCCTTGCCTATGGGCAAGACAGGGGGGACTTACAGAAAGTAGAGGCAGGCGACAACAATTGGGATATAGAGTCGTTCATGTTAATGAAGTCGAAAGGCACACTTTTTGAATCCTGCCAGTTTCTTGTTGCAGGATAAAAGACCTGGACCCAAAGAAGGTAAGTCGCATGTGGAGCCATATCAGCAGACATTCTCATACTATCCTTGCATAGAAAACACGTGTTGCAATAATTTCACTCGCCTCCTGGTTGTTGAACCGAACACTTCATATGTTTGCTCTGTTGCCAGATGGTAATGCGCAAGTCTTACTTGCCACGTTAGAGGGGGTTTTTCGAGGCGCACCATACTAGGTACTAACCAGTCTCGGTATTTATCTATCTCACTTTCAACCATCAAGCGCTTCTAGGATTTGTGGTTTTGTGAGAGCACATTCCACGTCGAAGTGGATAACCTTCTTCATCCTTTGAGCTTCTGAGGTCAGCCTCTGTCGCTTGACCACGAAATCCGCCTCATCTCGTCCATTTGAGTGAGTGCCGCTTCAGGCAACCATCTCGATTGAAAGTATAAAGACAACTTCGTGTGTACATTTCCGCAGCCCCTGAGTATTTTGTGTCGCAACTTTGCCGACATCGACACATACACGCTGGGCTTTCCCAAAGGCAGCGGCCAGGGTTCCTTCAACGTCTTCAAAGTCGTCAAGCAGTACCTGCCTGGCCCGGTGAGTCTTCAGTAACTCGTCCGATTTTCCATGAGAGCGTCAGGGCACCAAAGGAGATCTCGCGACCGGAGACGAGCGTTTCGCCTCTGCGATTGGCAGGCGTTAGAAGGCTGTTTCCTGGAAATGGACGGTGACTCTTTGCGTTGCATTCAGCTAAAGCCTTGGTCTGTTTGTGAGATTTCGTAGGGAAAACAGTTAAGCGGCCAAAAGGGCGTAAAGCATCTGTAATGACTGCGGTTTACATCGGGTGGAAGACAGCGAGTGAAGAGGGACTAAGCGAACGTAGAAGGATGTGCTGTTGAGGTTGTGACTCGACTCCTGGTAGGCGCCTACAGAATTGCACGACCGGCTAGAGCTTGTTCACTGATGCGTCATGGCCGGTGTTTGTCTAGGCCCTGTTTCGCTGACCGTCGCTCCGGCTCTCCCCAGTACACCTTCATCCTCAAGGCCAGCAAGGCCCTCCCGAAGCAGTGCGCCAACTTCGGCGGCAGCCTGGCGGCCTCTTGCGCCCCCCGCAAAAGCGTCGGGGTCCGTATGCCAGCGGACCCCATCTGCGCCGCCCTTCTCGAGCGGCTGGATCGGCCTCTTCTCTGTACGAGGTAAGCAGTCGTTTACTGCCCTTGCAAAGAGGCGACGTTCAAGATGTGCCTGCTGGCAGAGTGGAAAGAAGGAGCGCTGTATATGTTACTCAGTTTCGTGTCGAGACCTCAAAGCGAAGTCGTTTCTGGTCCGAGGTTGTGTGGCTGGTATGAGCTTGTCTGATGTAACGTCGGTATACCAGACAACTTCCGCTCTCGTTCGCTATGTGCATCCGTATGTGCTTCTGGTGGGAAAGCCGTGGCAACCAGCGAGAGAGGTGCGAGGTGGCGTCTAGTTTTTGCCGTCCTTCTGCTCGCACTGCGGCCCATGCCATGACAGGTTTAAATCCCGACACTTAAGGGCCTTAAAAATCACCGTTCGATCCCAAGTTCGTAGAGTCAAGATGAGCCCGGATGAGAGGCGTTGGAGCAGTCTCAAAAAAGGAGCCTTCGCCACCATCTTGCATAAAGGGAGAGCGGTGCAAAGATAAACGGGCCTTCAATTCCGGTCAAATGACGAAATGCGATGCCGTTCAATTTGCCTTTCTATTGACATCTCGGGCCGCGTTTCCCAGCGTGCGCACTAAGAGCGAGGAGGAGTGGATGCTGGACCCCGTGTACATAGCCGACGAGTACAAACTGACCAAAAATGGCGAAAAGGTACGCGCACCTGTGGTCACCTCTAGGAAGAAGCGCAGTGCGTTACTATTCAAGAGGTTGTCATCGTGGCAGCTCGCAATCATTGTGGCAAGTCCACTCAAAATCCGATATGTGGATCGGACTCGGTTCGAAAGCTGCTACGCTAGAGGTTCCGGTGAACTTCAAGTGGCCGATCTTCCCGTCGACCCCAAGTCTGAAAGGCGTCCTGGCAGCTGCAATCCGTTTCTTTAGGGGGTGCCGAGGGGCGGGGCGTCCTTATACCACAGATTAAAAGGCGGGGTTCTAATTGATACTCCCCAGATCGATCAAGCCGGTGTCTTCTGGCGTCGAATTCGAAATGTCTAAGTTGCTATGATCTACCGCAGAATGCAACTAGTATGAGGGCCAGGTCGGACAGGGGTTGTGGAGACCGCTCGTGGAGGTATCGTATGCAAGCTTGGGCAGCTTAGCCTCGCATCTGAGATGTTGCACGGCCAGTCTGCAGTTCATCATGTTCGAAGTCTATGGTTCTCGACGATACACTATATTCCCCGCCCGTGTCCGAATTTTCGAACACTCCCCCGAAAATGATATCTTGGGTGCGGGGTTAAGAGGCCCGAGAAGCAGATCAAACCCGCTTTTCTGTCGACGTCCAGGGTGTGGATTTTGTGGTGGACGGCGGGCAGCGCATGGCCACCCCTTCGACTGTCGTGGACATGACGGGGGCTACACCGTTGCTGCTGCGCCAGGGGAAGGTGTGAAAACGCTCTCTATGTTCGTTGCCGTGAAAGTACAGAAGCGCAAACGTTGCGGCCTTGTTGTAGGTGGCCGACGTCAACTTGCTGCTTCGATACGGAAACGCGACTTTGCTGCTTGTGACCAGTCATCGCATCCAGCGCACCCATGTCAGGGGTTGAGTAAGTAGGACTGGCCGAATCTGTATAGGAGCGTTCAATAACGTGAAGATCTGGAACGCGAAGCTTTGCATGTCTTGAAGTCAGATGCAGAGATGGACGCTTTTCCTACAGCTTGGGTGCTCAGGCGCCAGGGGCTATTTTTTAGCACATGAGCTGACAAGGAGGTGTTTGTGTTGCAGGGAGAGGTTGACGAGTTTCTGGTGGACTTTGATGCGTCCGCTGAGATCACGAGGACTCCTCGAGGAGCCCCAATTGTGAACCCCTATGCCACGGTCGCTGATAATATATAGAGTGATAAGCTCCAGTTGAAATTGAGCAACGCGACATTGACCAGGAGACACCTGATATGCCCGACTTCCATAGTGGATAGAGTTTACATTTGGCCGATTTAAATGGTGCAGGTGAGTTTTCCCTGGGTTTTTGTGGTGGTTCGCTCAATCGCACAAAGATGTTGGACCTTCCAGTCTCGAGTTTAGCTTGTATAGCGGCTTGAATGACATGTTTTCTGCAGCAATATTGAACGTGACATTGGAGTATAGCGTAAAACTGCAGTCGATAGATAAATACATTTGAATCAACATTGTTTTCCTTGAAGACCGCTGCGAGCTCCGGTTTCACGAATCTCCACTGCAGAGTTAAGTTCAATCATGGTCAGCCAGCCGCCAATGGCAGATTGAGCTGGATGTTCAAATCGCATAAGGTCGACGATACTATATCAGAATTGTACGCAGTGACCATATAGTATGCCAGCTATGAGATTCGTTTACGTCATTGGGACAATGCACGCAGTCCCAATGACTGCGTAAGTGCACCGGCTACATTTTCCAAATTACTGCAGACGGCCTATTAAAGCTTGGAAAGCTAGATCTAGATCAAATTGCATCCCTGGCTGAATCTTCCAAACCTTTTTAGGTACTGAATCGAATGGTCCAATTCGTTGAATCATGCAGATTTAACGCGAGCATCAATCTCGCCGGTCGGACGAATTGAGTCGGTGGCCGCCCCGTGCGCGTGCATGGTACGGTAAGGATATAATATCTCAATCAGAATAGCAGTATAAGAGTATCAATAAGATCTATGGTCGTTGGTCAAGGCAACTCAAAGATAGGTAGATGTGAGTGCCACGGCACCTCAATTGTCACTGAACCGTCTTTAGTCACTGAGGGTTCGATTGACAATCCCGCGCGGCCGCGCGCGGCCGACGCGACCCCGCCCCCCCTTCACGAGGTTTGGGGTTTGGAGTATTAGGGTTCCATACGAAATCAGGCTACGGTATCCCATTGCCCGGGGCCCTAGCTGGCCTGTTGCCTGTGCCAGTGGAGCGCGTCGTCTGCGTAGTGGAGCAGCTGGAGCTTGTTGAATGCAGCACATGGGACAAGTGAAGAGGACTGTTTTTACTGGGTACTAGGATACATATCTTAGAAAAGCTGACACTGTGAATGGTGGCTGACACGAACAGCTGACTGCCTTCCTGCAGAATTTGTACAGAGAATGCAAGAAGCGTAATCCTCGTTGCGCTGATATTAAAAGAGCTTTTACTGCCTCACAAGATATCATTGCTGCTTGAATGGATTCTTCTCCGCCAGAAGTGAGTCCCTCTGCGGGCGCAGCCGCCAATGGGGTTGCTCAGTCCCAAGCGGACAGGAAATCAAAGGCGGCTTCCCCAGACCAGAGGGCAACGGACTCTGCACAGCCACCAGTTAGTCGCAAGTCTGTAAACCTGCGTGCATTCAACCTGTACGCCGCTAAGGTGCGAAAGGAGACGAAGGACCAGAATCCGGGGAAGACCGGCTATGACATTGAGCGCCTGATTGGGAAGAAGTGGGCAAAGCTTGCGGACGACGAGCGCAATGAGTTCGTACAGCAGGCTCAGAAGGAGCGAGAGGAGTTGCTGCAACTGGGGGCGGTGAAAGAAGCTCAGGGGAAGGCTAAAAAGAAGAAGCGAAAGAACGAGGTGGACCTGTTGGCGCTCGCGCTGAAGCAGAGCAAGCCGGAAGACAAGGAGACACTGCTACAGCACTTGCCGGGATTAGTCAAACCCAAGAGAAGTAAACCGGGGCAGCACGTTGATGCAACGGGGGGCGATGGAAGCCCTGCCGCGGCACTCATCGGGACCCCCGTTTCTGGGATGATCGACGGCATGTTTGACGTGGGGTATTTTGTGACGCTGCGTGTGGGAGAGAAGCGGCAGGCGTTTAGGGGGGTGGTTTTCAGGCCTGATCTACACCCCCCTGCCGGACGGATGGATATTGCGCCCAAGGTGTGGACACTGAACACCGGGGGGGTGGCACACAGGGAGGGGGAAGGAGGGGAGGGAGGGGAGGGGAGGCGGAAGGAGGGGGAAGGAGGGGTGGGGACCCCATTTGTGGAAGGTGTGAATAGGCAGGAGCCTGTGACTGGGGTAGCAAGTTTAAATGTGCAGACTGGTGCGAACGACCACGAAATGGGGAACGCGCCTGAGATTTCGACCAATGTGCAAGAAGCAGACGGGCATGAGAACGTCGATCTGCAAGAAGATGTTGACAGGCTCGATGGCAAATATGGGCAAGAGCCAGGGGGTGTGAATGGGCAAGGGGGTGAAAATGGGCAAGGCTGTGTGAACGGGAGTCAAGAGCAGCGAGAAGGGGAAGCGTTGCAAAGTATGGAGAACGGTTGATATGCAGAGTAAAGTGGAATGCATCAGGTGGTGCAAAGGCTTCTGGGGGAAAAGATTGTCGAAAGTAGGGGAACGTCCGAGCAAAAGCAAAGCTCATCCGGAAAGTGCAATTCTTCTTCGATGTTTGACGGATGTTTCACTGCAGTACTCAACCGCGGTTGGTGAGTAAGGTCGGTGTTCTGCTTTCGTTTTAGGGCGAGCTTTGGCAGCTTAAGTATACCAGGGTCTCTCGAAAATCCGTGTTTTGAAGAGGACGAGAACGGCAGGGACATATCCCCTTCCTCGCATATCGGCTGTGTTAAAGGTATAAGGTATAATTATGGAAGTGATCTATATCAATCTTTTGGCAAGCTGAATTTGAATTCAGCTCTTGACTTCTCTCGACAAAGTCAACGTGCCTGTCCGGACGCAATGATCCTGCTCGCAATGATGGTCGAGCTGCTCTTAACATCATTTCATTGTGGCCACATGATTGCAACGCGCGCTGCATGCAGTATTTGTTATCCCAACATATCATCATATAAGCTCTTTCAAATCTAGGCATAGGTTAAATCGAAATAATGGCTCAAGCAGCATGCCAGCGAGTTCTCGCCATGTTCTTAACTGGCACGCATCATTGGCCGGGCCCGCGAGTCATTAGCCGACAAAGCGCGCATGTTGGGCCATACATGTGCAACTTGCGATCATTACATTTATCAACCTTTTGTACAGGAAATTTTAGGGCCGTCTTATAGGCCGTTTTAATTGCACTGACTTGATCCGGACTCTACACGGTGCAGCCGCCCCCGGGTCCTTTACGATCGAGGCCGCCCTGAAGCGAACTTAGCTGGCCTGGTCGCCTGCCAGTAACTCGAGCCATGCATTGGAAGCCAGTACGTCATGTGGGAACAAGTTGAAGCCAGTCAGCTTCATGCATGATCTCGGATATAGCTCTTGCAAGCCCGCCGGGTCACTAACTGATAGGAACTTAAATAGATGACATTCAATTAGCTGTCACGCCGCATAACGTACTTTAACGGTTACTCCTAAACGTTTGTATGCCATTGAAGGAGCCTATTATGCCTGTTTAGCTACAGCGCGTGTTTGATTTGAAAAACCACGATACGAGGATCTAGTTTCTGAAGTCCAACGTAGAAATCAAAGGCTTTTTAGTGATGATTCACGGTGGTCGGATGCCTTCATTTATCGTTTGAATGCACAGTTAGTTGACTGTAATTGAAGGTTCGCTTCGATATCAGGACCAAACCATACACACTATTACTATGTTCTCTCATACTGGGACCGCTGATACTTTGCGGGCGGCCTGCGAAGTTGACGATGGGCTGGGAAAACCTACATGACATCTAAACTCGTCAGACGCGTGCATCTAACATCGTCAGACGCGTGCCTCGTGCTACCTCTGGTCGCCATGTTTACAGCTATAGTTTACAGGTATACTACCATTTCTGTGACTAACAACCCTTCTGACGCCGACGTTATCAACCTACTGTGTCAATTACTCTGATTGTTTCTTGGGCTATGCACAACTCTTCGTCAGTGGGAACAACCAGAACCTGCGAACGCGAAAAAGATGCCTTCATCAAAGAGGATGTGAAACTCTTTGATTGCAAGGAGACAGCCTCACAGAAACATTATCAACTGCTAAAGTCCTCACTCCAAACTCGCTTTTGCTGCAGACCTCGAGATAAGCTCATACAAGCAAGAACGTTATGCTTGCCCTTACTTGGTGTGGGCTTCCTTTTTATCCAAGCCGGATATAAGGTAAGCAGCAACTAGTGTTCTCTCTACAAACACGCACAGTAATGCACGGTTGCTGCCGGACTTGAATCTCGCAGCCTCGGGAATGCAAAGCCCATCCAGAGAGCAAGGTAAAGAGGAAGCGAATGCTGACAACACGAATTCCGCATATCCAGAAGGGCCGACTTGACTAGAGTCCACAATCGTCTTGACAGCCCAAACGAGTGCAATCCGGCCTCTTCAACAAGAGTGCATCGCCCGAACTGATGGATTGCCGTATTTCTGGAGACCATTCAAGCTTTCTGTGACTATAGATGTTGGACTTTGTTAGACCCCGATTCTTGATTCGGAGCCTTTGGACCACAAGATTGCTGAAAGTGAGCGGCTACTCTTCAGTCCAAATTTCTCGTTGCGGTTGCGAATGCTATACAAGACCATTGTGAGCGGTCACAGTTGACACAGGAGGTCCGGGACTACCGGGACACAAATCTTCACAAACTGGATCTCCTCAAAACGCATGATTCGTAATCCGGTTCGGCCACAGCAGTCTATCTACCACACGATCGCTCATTTTCTCGTTTACACCGCAACAGAAACTTCTTCGATTACCTTGATACGCGAGCCGTCTTTGGAGATGTCCCCGCCCTTCTTCTTCACGTCCTCGTTCTTGGCGTTGTCGATCTCAATCCCGAACCGCTCCAACCCCTCGCAGATCATTTGCCGCACGACCACGGACCGCTCGCCGATCCCAGCGCTGAATACGATCGCGTCTACGTCGCCTCGCAAATGCACCAGGTATGCGCCCAGGTACTTCCTTGCCCGGTGAACCCAAACCTGTGCACACGTGGCGGATGCTGAGCTCCCCTTCGTCTACGCTTTTGCAAGCAACAGTAACGAGATCTTTGAAAAACTTGGAAACGCTGGGCAAGGACAGTGAAAACAAGAGTCGCTTCCGCCACTTTGATGAGAGCAGAATGACCAGAACGGATCCTGACGTCTGCGCTTCAGTCTGCAATCTCTCGCCCAAAGCTTGACAGCGCAGGCGTAGAGTGGAATCTCAGAGCCCTGGCATGTCAAGGCTAGATTACGGCGGCCAGATTCGGTCCCTCTCTTTAAAGAGGTCAGCGCAAGTATTCGTCAGCAGTCAATACATATTCCAATGCAGCGATTGCAAATGATTGTGGTAGGAATACGGATTGCACGGCCGTTGGTGATTCTAACCTTGAGTCCGAGCCCCGCTTGAGCGTCGCCTGCTGCCGCTCTCTCCACCACCGTTCTCATGTCACTCGTCCCGGTCAGTCCTGCGGGGGTTTGCTTCAATAACGGGGACGTCGGGAAATTTGCAAGCACAGGCAAAAGTGGGCACCTGCGAACTGCTCGTGCTTGCTTCCGAAGGACGTCAACCGTTGGGATACGATGGAGATTCCCGCAGATAGTCATGGTAGACAACGCTTCGGAACCGTTCGGGACCCTTCAAACGGACAAAAAGAAAACCTGCAGCTTCTTAGGTAATAGAGAAGTGAAGGGCATCTTTCAGGGTACGGAACACGGGACTCTGGTAAGAAGTCAAAGATTTCCTCGAAGATATCGAGCATCGTTTCTAGACAAGTTCGAAGGTCTAAACCGCAGAATACGCTCTGCTGTACTCTGCTCTGCACTCACAAATCGGGAATGCATCGGCCAAGAGTCGACAGGATGCGGCGTCCATTTAGGAGGATCCCGCTCCCCGCTCCTAGGAGAATCTTCATTTCTGCTTACCTAAGAGGCCGCTCTTCTTGTTCATCAGGGTGTCGACGTCATCCGGGGAGAGCCCTTTGTGGTCCTTCAGGATCTTCACCAGACTGGGGTCCACGTCTCCACACCTGGGGCAGGGTCGGAGGCTCGTTGTTCGACAGAAAGTGTGAATTCTTACAACAGGCTTGATAGTGGAGAGTAACTCCTCGAAGCAGATGTTGGCATTCGGCTACACAGCCACAGTAGCAATGACTTCGAGGATTAAGTTGACCTGTAAATTGACATTTAAAGGCGCTCGCAAAATTCCGTCAATAAGCGTCTCGGCCTTACTGCACCAAAGGGTCACCATCACGAACCTCTGCAGTGCTTCCAAGCCCAAAGACCTTTTGGAAAAACTTGAGTCGTCTTCACTGGGTCAACTGCTCAGAAAGATCTCCAAGCCGGAGATTTTTGCTCTGACACGCCAGAACGAGGAACCTCGTCGCAAAAGTACCTCCCCCCCCATCCTCGCTTCCCTCTGCAGACCTCGATTAGGGACCTTTGACACCAAATCAAAGTCTCTCACCTGGTTGCCATTACGAGCCCCTCGAGCGGTGTCACCCCCATGGACGTGTCCACGCTCTCGCCGCCCTTGATCGCCGCAACGCTCGCGCCCGCCCCAATATGAAACATGATGGCGTTCAACTTTTCGGGGGGCTTGTTCAGCAGTCGCGCGGTCTCCCTGGTAAGGTACAGGTAACTGGTGCCGTGGAAACCGTAACGCCGGATGCCGAGCTCTTTGTAGAGGGAGAAGGGAAGGCCGTATGTGTAGGCCTCTTCAGGCATGGTGGAGTGGAAGCTGGTGTCAAAGACGGCGACCTGGGGATGGGGGATCGAAGCGTTTTTGGGGCGTCAAGAAAGTCTCAAACTTACGGCCACTTTTTCGATTTTAGTCCTGGGGGGCCCTCGGTAATCCGCACCATCAGATTCGGGGCCAGCGATGACATCTCTGTACACTTCGGTCGAAGTGGAAAAAGTCTTTGGTCGAAATGAGAATCGGCTACGGAGGTCCGGAAGGTGTCGAGCGACAGTCACGAGATGATGCCCAGGTGTCAAGTAAGCCTTTGCCCAGACCTCAGTCCGCTTAGATGGGGGCTAATCTCTTTCGAGGTCTAAAATTCCAGCAGGCGAGTCTCTGCAACAAGCGGCTTCGCACAGGGCTTGTTGAACACAAGAGGCTGCGAGTGGGCAACTTCGAGAACTTTATTTAAAGGGCTAGGCCCATGGCAATTGAGAGATGAGACGCGTGCTTCGGGATCAAGAGAGAATAAGCACAGCTAACATTTTTCATTTCGGCACGGCAGTTGACACCTCTGTGCACAGACCTTCGAAGACGAGCAAGAGGCGGACCTGGGGAACTGGAAACAGCTGCTCGGCGACTTCGATGCCGACCAGGTTTGGCGGATTGTGGAGGGGTGCGAGAGCGCTGTGTTCCTGGATGAGCCCTTTGACTCGCTTGTCGATCAGAGTGGAGGCGGTCAGCGACTCGCCTCCGTGCACAACGCGATGACCAACGCCAGCAATGTGGCTGCAGAAGAGACCATGTGTCAGTTTATTGTGATACTTTCCTCAGGTGAGAGACTGTTACGGTTCCAGCGCAGATGTCTCCGACAAAACAATAATCGATGGCTCGATCCAGTGCGTCCAAGATTACTTCTGGTTTGCGCATGACGTGTGTCTCAACTGAAATCGTATGAAGTCTTGGCTTGAGGGACAGAGTGTACATGCAGAATGGATTGCAAAGAGTGCTGGTCAAGATGGACTCTTTGCCCCACCTTATTTGCCTACTCAGGCACCCTGAATCGAAATTCGCCAAGACTGTAGGAGACGACAGGAAGACTTTTCTCCTCAGCTTCTTCTGCTTTAATCTCATTCGCCACCAAAGACCAGGCCGCAGAAAGTGAACTTACAGGTTCGCTTCATGGTGCATGTACTCTGTGGCCTTCTGCAGCGCAACCTTGTGATCTGCGAGCTCGGTAGCCAGCTTGACACTGCCAGCAGCATCAGCTCCCGGGATTGGGGCTCCAGTCAGCGAGTGGTGGCTGATGGAGCTCCTACTGGTGCCAATCTGCTCCACCTGTTTGACAGATCACTTCCTCAGTCGATTCCTCTGGAACAAAGCATGCTGGAACACATTGACAGTCCATTGAGCTGAGTCCCAGTTTAGCTGAAGGTCATTCGCTGACGGAGCGCCTGCTGGTGCCATTCTGCTCCACCTGTTTGACAAATTTCTTCCTCTGTCGTTTTCTCTGGGCGAAGGCATGCTGGAACACATTGAAATTTCATTGAGCTGAGTCCCAGTTTTCCTGAAGGAGTGGGGGTGAAGTTGTGAAGCCAGCTTGTAGTCGCCTGTACTAAGAATAACCACTCTGCAAGTTGTAGACTCTTAACAAGGGATAGGTAGATATGGCAAATGCTGAACATGCCTGAACCTGCCCCTCGTCATTTGCGTGGCAGGAGCAGCAATGTTCTCAGATGCATGTCTCAATTCTCCTTTCAGGCAGCTATTTGATACAGAGAAACCTTGTTGTCCAACCGGTACAATATGAGCAGGGATGTCAGCGACCTCTTACCAGACCCTGCACTGTCCTTTTAATGGTCCCTTCCTTCAGGAAATTGTATATGGCATACCTGCACTCAATCGTGGAGCCAAATGTCATTGTCCATGTTCAGGAAGCACTTGAATGCCTCCCTGATCCTAAGGGTTTGCCTGTTCCAAACCAGATGGGGAGTGGTTGTGACCATATTTAGTTGGCAATCTGCTGAATCCTTGACGACAGAACCAATTCACAAGACTGCAAAACCACCCTTGCAATCGAACCAGACATGCACTATCCACTATACAGCCGAGATTGATTGGCATCTCACTTGAGGGACGAACTGCCAGCATTGAGCACCAGGACAGCCCTTTCGCGCGCCATTTGCTGTGGAACCAGAGGTCTTTGAAGATTCTTACGCCCCTACAAGTAGCTGCTGCATTGCTATTTGCTCTGCTCCACGCAAGCCTGTACTATCTAGTATCTCTGCATGCCACCTTGAATGTTGCACCCATGTGCATCCATATTCCAATGCGCCCAAATTCCAATGCGCCTCGCAAGTTGTGAATGGTTTCAACAACGTAGCGCAGAAACAAGGATTGCTGGGCCTGACTTCTGACGAGAAGAGCAGATAACGTACCTAACGGTTAGGCTAACCCGACTCCTGGTTTTCATGCTGACGGTGATTGTCAATGGCACGGATTGAAAACCGTCAGAGGCACGTCGTTTCGTGGTTTGAGTCTTGACACAGTCGTGACTTTTTGCCTGCGCGTACTGGTTGTGAATCAATGCTCGTGAATGACACCTCCGCTGCAAGAAATCTACGTACGTACGCGTACTCGAAAGCGGCACCTGCCACCTGCCTTCTCGGTTTGACCAACACGGTTCGAAACGGGTTGGTTAGACAAGTTTGAGCTGGTGCCAGGTCACCGCTGGCCTTTGGCGTTCCGTTCTGCTCTGCTCCGGCACATGGACTGATGAAAACGACGGAGCGGAACTGCGAAAATGACCACGAGTCCACGACTCACGGCAGGTGCATAATGCAGAGTAAAATACAAGACCCGCGTGACTAGCATCACGTGCCATGTGACCTGTCCGTCTGTTCAAGTTCACAACATGCCATTGGTCAATAGGTAATCAAGCAATATCCTGACTTACGCAACCCCCGGGGGTTACCGCAGAACCGCTACATACGCGCTAGATGCGAATCAAAGGTAACTCGAGCGATGTAACTAGCCGCATGCAGCCGGCCTAATTTTTTTCATGCCGGGGCCAGGCGCTATCCATGCTGTTCCGGAAGCTTCTCTCAATTCTGTTCAACAACCAGTATTTTAGCAGTGACGATCTGATGCTGAACCGAATGTTATGAGTATCTGTCGGGATCTGTTTACCGGTAGGTACATCAGGTATATATGTATTGTATCTGTAGTGTCGGAACCCCCCCGGCCGGAGGTAACGCTTTTAAGATAATAGATAATATACAAGACAGACTGACCGTCCAGACTGCGTTACGTGTGCTGCCCAAGAGTCACCCCCTCGCGGACAGTGCCACTTCGTCATCCCCTGCTGTACGCGAGCCCGCGCGCGCGCGGAAGGAGTTTCGCGCGGCGGCCGGCGACCGAGAAGATATTTGGGTGGCGTTCAGGCGTCGACGGCGACGATGAAGACCACCAGTAGTTAGAGTCGTAG